ACACTGCGGCCTCACCAATCTCCCGTCTATTTAGCTTACTATGACATCATTTCCCGTCCACTTTGCAGTGTCGTCATCGATCTGTCATCCACTCAACACCTCCTAACGCCACTATCTCTCGTAAAATCAACACTATGACGTCACCAATAATTAATTCAATAATTACGTCGTATAGTATCATATCATACAATAAACAGGAACTACCTGTACATGTTAGTTGATATTCCTTGTACATACAGCGGTTCAGCCAAGCTTGTGAAACATTTAACATATAACTACCTCAATACTGTTCACATCTGTATAGACTAGTACAGGTAATGCTCTACCTGACACACTTGTTAAATAAGTAAATTTAATAACGCCGCGGGTCCGACTAATTACCCAAATGTACCCAAATGTAGCCAAATATAGCCGGAATGAAGTCAAATAATAGTCCTAGATGAATAAATCGGCCTGCCAATCACTTCTCGACTAGTATTTGGTGTCACAAAGTCACAAAAAATTGGAAAACTTACTTTAATCTGAGTTAATAGATCGCGTGCATGTACCGACGGAGCGAGGAATTACCCAAATGTAGCCAAATGTAGCCGCAATGAAGTCAAATGATGGTCCTAGATGAATAAATCGGACTGCCAATCACTTCTCGACTAGTATTTGGTGTCACAAAGTCACAAAAAATTGGTAAACTTAATTTAATCTGAGTTAATAGATCAAGTGCATGTACCTAACCTAATCTAATCTAACCTAACCTAATCTAACCTAACCTAACCTAAGACAACACAACACAACTCAGATTAAATTAAGTTTACCAATTTTTTTGACTTTATGACACCAAATAATAATCGAAAAGTGATTCACAGCCCGAATTATGCTTGTACGACCATCATTTGACTTCATTGCGGCTATATTTGGCTACATTTGAGTACATTTGGGTAATTAGTCGGACCGTAACGCCGCTGGATAAACCCTCACCTCCTATCTACGGGTCTCTGATTCGATGTCGGGGCACACCCAGTTCACCAAGCTGTAAGGTGGTCGAGTGCAGTGCCGGCCATGCTGTCTCCTTACGTACCAAAGGCTTAATATACTGTGTAATGTATCCACACTGTCCCTAGAGGGCTGTTATGCTTATGGGATCCACTGTTATAGCTTAACAGCATTGTTTATGAAAACACAGCGAACAAGGGTGACCAAGATTGGCCAGTGGCAGCATAATGCTGCTCTTAAAAAAAATCCCTCACATGCGAAAAGCATCTATCAGTCAAGTCGAGAAAGGCAGCCAAAAATGACAACTGTTTAATGCTGCCCCACATTATAATGAACGAGTTAAAATAAAGTTATTAATGTATAATATAATACACCAATGAGACATGTGGCAGTACCGACATCTGCTGTGGTGTAGCGACTGTACATCTCCAGCAGGCTGTCGTAAAACTCTAAATGGCTCATAAATATCCATACATGAGAGAGAAGGGAGAATACATATGTGTGTGGTGCATGATGCCAGGCCTTCGTGACTAACACCGCTAGGTAACTTATAAATGTTTCACTCCCGAGCGTTTGTCCCGTATCATATAGACAGAGAAATAATGCTTGTGTGTGTGTGTGTGTGTGTGTGAGCCACAACAAACACTCTGACACTTATGAAATATGCACCACCACCAACACTGACCCTTACAACCCGCACCTCCTGTAATGCTCTCTTTCAGGAAATCCATTATCGTGCAGCTGGTGGCTTAGTTGTAAACACTGGTACATTACTGGGGGTGTTCATATTATTTTACTTTGGTTTTGTAAGACACGAGAAGAAGAATAAATTTTAGTAGAAGTAGCGGTAAAGGGGAAAGAGAGGGAGAGCGGGAGGGCGTGGTCACCCTCCCTTCCACTGCACCAGGATGACGCTATAAATATCCCCCCCCCCCAAAAAAAAAGACAGTAGCGTACGTACCCCCAACACACACACACTAAAACATTACGTACATTTAATATGTAGTAAAACTGGAAGAGATCCAAGAACACATTACTGGCGGAAAATCAAAAGTGCATGACAACTGTTCAAGGAATTATTGTCTTCATCATCATCATCAGTATCATTATTATTATTATTAGTAGTAGTAGTAGTAGTAGTATAATGACAGTATATATGTGATTGGTAATTTAAGTGACGAATAACCGATAGCCAGACAAGCCTTACTTAATACACCGTGGTTAAGAAAAATTAATTTGAATAATTTATTTGTGTAATACTGCACTGTAATTGATGTACTGTATTGTGTGTGGGTTCAGTTCTCATCTGGGCGTTCATATTGTTACGTTCACTGATGTGTAGTCGCTCCCCTACCAGACGTTCATATTGTTACGTTCACTGATGTGTAGTCGCTCCCCTACCAGACGTTCATATTGTTGCGTTCACTGTTGTGTGGTCGCTCCCCCACCAGACGTTCATATTGTTACGTTCACTGTTGTGTGGTCGCTCCCCTACCAGACGTTCATATTGTTACGTTCACTTTGTGTGCTCCCCTACCAGACGTCGCTCACCCTACCAGACGTTCATATTGTTACGTTCACTGATGTGTGGTCGCTCCCCTACCAGGCGTTCATATTGTTACGTTCACTGTTGTGTGGTCGCTCCCCTACCAGACGTTCATGTTATACGTTCACTGTTGTGTGGTCGCTCCCCTACCAGGCGTTCATATTGTTACGTTCACTGTTGTGTGGTCGCTCCCCTACCAGACGTTCATGTTATTACGTTCACTGTTGTGTGGTCACTCCCCTACCAGGCGTTCATATTGTTACGTTCACTGATGTGTGGTCGCTCCCCTACCAGACGTTCATGTTATTACGTTCACTGATGTGTGGTCGCTCCCCTACCAGGCGTTCATATTGTTACGTTCACTGTTGTGTGGTCGCTCCCCTACCAGGTGTTCATGTTATTACGTTCACTGGCAGCATAAGAAGGTGTCGGTAATTAATGAACTACGTGTATGTATCGACCGGTAGATCATAATTAATTACGGACCATAATAACCGAGTTTGTTAATGATATCAACACGGAGGGATATTGTTTGTTTACATTGTGTTCTCTCACTTTCTTCATTATCTCCTTCCTTTCTCACTCTCTCTCATCTTCCACTTCCCCACTCTCTCTTAATTCTTCCTCCCCTCTGCTCCCCCACTCTCTCATTTCCGTCATTCTCTTCTCTCTGACTTTCTCCTCACTCTCTTCTTCCTCACTTCTACCTGTCGAACCTTGTGTGTGTGTGTGTGTGTCTCTCTCTCTCTCTCTCTCTCTCTCTCTCTCTCTCTCTCTCGTTTTTACTCCTATCCATTCGCTTTTTTATCCCTTTTTCTATCTACTCTTTCCTTATCTTTATTCCCCTTCCAATCTTACTATCTCCCTCTTATCCTTTTATTCTCTTTTTCTCCCATACCTCCTTCCATGGCTCTCTCTCTCTCCCTCTAATTCTCACTCTGTACATAGCTCTCTCTCTTTATCTAACACACACACAGTCTCTCTCTCTCACACTGTCTCTCTTTATCTAACACACTCTCTCTCTTTATCTAACACACACACAGTCTCTCTCTCTCACACTGTCTCTCTTTATCTAACACACTCTCTCTCTCTCTTTATCTAACACACACACAGTCTCTCTCTCTCACACTGTCTCTCTTTATCTAACACACTCTCTCTCTCTCTTTATCTAACACACACACAGTCTCTCTCTCTCACACTGTCTCTCTTTATCTAACACACTCTCTCTCTCTCTTTAACTAACACACACACTATCTAATTCTCTCTCTTTATCCAGTTCTCTCTCTCTCTCTCTGTCTTTCTTTTCCCCATTTCGTACATCAACCAGTAATTTAATATAATCTATAATTCACTTAATTAATCACCCCCCCAAAAAACAGATAACTCCTAAGATTAATTATTATCCTGACCATATTTCTCGTGATTTTTTAAACCTGGATTTATTTTCCGATTATTTTTTTGTCTCCCTTACACTCTGATGTATTGTTTGTTGTGCTGCCTTTGTACACAAGTCTGGGATCAGGTGAAGATAAGGCACCCTAGCTTATTTTACCTGATATTAAATTAATGTGACCTAATTTTAATCTTATCTAATATAACCTAACCTTACCTAACCTAATTTAGCCTAGCATAACCTAACTCAATCTAACCTAACATAACTTTACATAAACTAACCTAATTCAATCTAATCTAGCATAACATAACATAACCTGACCTGACCTAACCTTGTAACGTTTGGGAGTTGAATCAGCAACTTCTTTTACTTGATGAGTAAACACCCCAACAGCTAATTTAACCCAACGTAACCTCAATTAAATCTTATCTAACATAAATGAACCTAACCTGACTACAGCTAAACCGAAACTAACTTAACCTAACTTCAATTACACCTAACCTAACCTAACCTCCCATCCAGGTCACGTTAGGGTGTTTAATCGTCGTCAGGTGATATAAACTGGGTTGCCTAAAATGATCCTAAACTCGTTTTAAAAAAGCCTAAGGACTGAGTCATCCACGTAGGCTGAAACAAAAAACAAAATGGATGTTTTTTTCTTTTAGTTCCACCGTTGATCATGATTTTTTCAGCCGAATAAATTGCTACCATACTAAAAACTTGACTGATAAGAAATTAATCCTTCTATAATACGTCTTTTCTATACTTATATATAATTATTTATCTCAGCTACGCCTTATTCCATGTTTTATTTCACTCATGAGTCGAAAGTTGTGCGTCATGGAGGTGTAATATTAATGGACTATCGACCTCCTTATGTTAAGGAAGACAGTCTATTAAATTTGAGCCCACAATATTCTCTGGACCTTCGACTACATGCCATTTGTTATTTTCTCTTGTTATGTGGTGTTTGTCTTCCCCCTCCCCCCTTTTGTCCTCGTCATCAGTGACGTCAGTAGTGTCGTTGATGTTGCCGACCTGTCACTAATTATTTTCTTTTGTGTTCTCTTTCAGTTCGAGATACTGGCATGTCTGTCCCTGGGTCAAGGAAAGAGTGAGTACACGTGTTTATAAGTTGTGGATCTGAAGAGGTGATGAGTCCCACTGAAGATATGTTTACAACACAACAAAATAATAATAATAATTATAATAATAATAATAATAATCTCTAGGCCAGGAGACAAACCTGGATAGGACAGGGAAGGACAAATCAAATACATAGTAAGTACAGAACTAACACACTGGCAGGTGCAGGAAATTAATCAATACATTGGATAAAAATGATTCAAATGAATAAATTAATTTAGAATTATGGCTGTGATACAAGATTGGGTCATGATGTTCTACCCAATAAAAATCAATTAGGAAAGTGAAGATAGTGAGTCAGATAAGTGCTAGCCACACTGCTTCATTGTGTCCCTAACAATGATTAGTATTATGTGTTGTTTGCACACTATCCCCAACTGGCCAATGGGGTCCACTTTCATAGCTTTTGCTAACAGAAAACAAAAACCATTGCCATGTTCAGAACTTACACTACTGAACTACTACTCGAGTAAGCTGTATCGCCGCCGTCATGACAAAACACTATTATAGTTGATGCTCAGTGCATTACGATACAGAAAGTTGGTACTGTGATTGATCGGACCCAAGTATGACATCACAAAAATATACTTGTATTTTAGAATGTCCATGTAAATTATTAAAGTGACGTCATCACTACTAGGTGTATTATGCCTGCAGGTCATTGGTAGATGACAGTCTCTTCCAAGGGGTGACAGACTTCATCACCAAGAATCAAGAGAATGGCCGCACCCTCACATCCTACGACCTCATCTCCAGGACGCTACACCAGGTACAGTACAGTCACCTGATCCACTCGTTCCTAACGAAGAGGTAAAACTCACGATTTTATCGTAACCTAATCTTCAGGTCCAGAATCCAGATGCAATACCTGTAATTAATAAATTAACACAAAAGCACGTTTATATATATATATATATATATATATATATATATATATATATATATATATATATATATATATATATATATATATTGTACATTTCTGTGCCATAAATTTTCCACATAAAAATGTGGTGTACTCATTTGGGGCGGGGGTACGGTTGAGAAATTGTTGAAAATGCAGTACAGTACTATAATAAAAATTGGTGGACTCTGGAGCAGGGATAACTAGCTTTTTTTTACAGAAAAGTAATTATCCTGCTCGGCTCCTCCTTTTTACTACGACACTGTGGGGTTTCGTGATGTTGAATCGCACATAGGATGGAGGTGAGCAGGGAAACGCAGCTATGGCGGTTTTTTTATATTAATATATTATATACAAAACAGTCTGGTGCTGGGAAGTTGCTGCGTGGTAGAGGAGCTGCTGTGCAGGAGTTTCTTAAGAGGTGTTGTGTGTTGCAGAGCTCTAGGTAGAATGGACTTCGGTCGGTCGGTGATACGGAGAGAAGAGAACATTAGCTCTGAAGGTGCAAGAAGGGTACAGTACAAGGTAAAGTTCAGAAGTGGGAAATAGAGGAGGAGGTTAACAGCAGGTGGGCTATCCACCTTGCAGAGACGGGGTTTTTGTCTTCCGTCAACAGTGCTGCATTAGAGGACTCATGCGGTTAGGGAAGGCCGGTCTCAGCCAAGCTGAGCTAAGTTGTTCTATTTGATGTTTCCTTGGGGCATATTATGATAGGTCCTTGTGGCACTGGAGGGATGATCCCCATCTTTTTCGTTTCTAGTTTTTTATTGTGGGTGTTTGTGAACTTTTTAGGTCTTTGTCTGTTTGTGGGGTCCCTCCAGGTCCTTGTGTGACTGGAGAGTTGTTTCCATCTTTTGGTTCTTTTTTATTGTGTATATAGAAGCTCTGGTTCTTCGTTATCATTTTTCCTGCTTCTAGGCCACCATCTGTGCGATGTGTTGTTGTTTTCCTCAATTAGTTGGTTTAGTATGGGATCCTGTTCTTGCTGGATTTTTTCCCATATTGCATTTGCTTGGGTGTGTATTCTGGTGTTGAGTGGGTGTATGCCGTGTTCTGTGTGTATGTCTTGTGCTGTTTGTGTGTATGGCCGCTCTTCTGAGGGCTATATTTTGCACTGCTTGAAATTTAAGTTTGTTTGTTCTTGCGATTGTGTTCAGAGGTATCGGAGGGTATTCTAAGTGTGGTCTGATCAGTGCTTTGTATAGGTGCAATTGCGTGTTGGTGTTTAATTGGCGGAATCTTCTGAGCTTTGTAAGTTGTGATTTTGCAATTGCTATTATTTCAAGAATGGACTTCACGGCGAGACTGGGAGCTTATATACACGGCCACCAGAAGTAAGCGTCGCCGGTGTGTAGCGCCCCCTTAGTCTAGACGGCTAGGCTTGTCAGAGACACTTCGTCGCGGGATCGGCTGATCAGCGACTAACGGCAGTGGCAGTTGTAGGGGAGAGTATCCACTACAACACCGTCCTGGCGGGTACTGGACATATTATACACGTATAGTATGTCTACCTGTGAGTGCGACTTGATGGATCCAGGTACACAGGCATATATACCCTACTTTTAAAATGTTATGAGTCAGTCAGTTGCTCGGTTCTCTTTTCACGTCTCTCAGAGGAGCAGTAAAGTTTCATCTGAGAAAATTAATAAAGATTTACTATGCAACAAAAGTTTGGTTAATTTTTCATTTATTTTACTAAGTCGAAATATTATGCATATTACAGCAATTGTTTAATTACTTTTGAAGTAAAATAATTAACGGAGCTTTTTTTTGTTTTATGTTGCCTATACAGGTATTAATTGCCTATTTCGGCACTATTTGCCAGGCTCTCGTGGTTAATCAAGATGCGAGGTTCACAATAAAGATATTAATTTTCAAAGTTAATTGTGGAGGGGGGAGGGACGCAATGAAAACAGTCTGCCTAATACCCTGATTGTGAAAATTATTGCATTATGGATTCGATCTAGTAAACACAGATAGGTTAATATTTGGAAGTATCGGAGATCCTTTAATCTGTTGACATTATACTCTCCAGTCCAGCGTTAACTTAGATTTAAGATTTGCCTCGTGCAGGAGCCCCCTTGTGTCCTGTACTCAGCAAAATGCAAGTTAATACAAACTCCCAAAAAGGTATTATATGAAATTCCTGCAGGTCTTCTTAGCTTTAAATTTGTAGATATCCAAGTTCACATTAAACATTCAGCACTAAACCAGCACATATTCTTCCCCTCAGCTGGCCCGAGATGGTAACAGTGAGGTATTGTCATCAGCGCTGGCACGCCTCGGGGAACACGGCCGTCGACGAATCAACAACCTGGACGGAGACAAGTTGTCTCCCCTCCACTATGCTGCCCGATATGCCCATGCCGACACAGTGAAAACTCTAATACATGCCGGCGCCAACGTTAATATCCGCGGAGAAGACAAGCTCACGCCTCTCCACTTTGCTGCCAGGTAATACTATTGTATTTTAGAAGAACAACGTATGACAACCACTGACAGGAGAGGGAGAACCTTACTGAGGGCAGGGAAAACATGTTGCGTGTGTTAAATGTCCTAGCTCATGAACTGGGCAGTCATTTTGCCCAATTTGTGAAATGAACTCTCTAAACCAACCCAACCCAATCTAACTGAACCTAAACTAACCCAACCCAATCTTACATAACATAACCTAGCTAATCTAAGTTGAGTTAGGTGAGGTTAAATCATTTTGTCAAGATTATTTAATAGGCTCCTAACCTATCTTAGATTCCTAGGTTAAATAGGTTGAATTAGGTGAAGCTAGGTTAGGTTGTTTTGGGTTGGATATGGGTTAGGTTGGGTTGATTTGAGTTGGGTTACATTAGATTGGATCATGTTAGGTTGGATTGGCTTTGGTGAGACTGGATTGAGTTTGGTTAGATTATATTAGGTTAGGTTAGGAACCAATTTCCGCAACTGGCCAAATGTGCCCAGGTCATGAGCTGGGAATTTTCACAAATGGGACGTAACAGTGGGACAGTAGTAACGTGAGTATCTCCCACAACAAAGTCATGGGTTCGAGTCCTGGCCAGACTCGTGTGTGAAGCGTGTTGTCCAGTGTTACACAACCAAACATCACATGTTTCCACTGGGTAAGTAATCTGTACTAACACTGGACAACATAATTCATAACGAAGAAACAAAGAACAAGAAATGCCCGTGTCTATTGCATCAATAATATCAGTTTCTTACAAAATTACCCCAAAAAATATTTAGGGAGATGATCCAACTACTTTAGATTCTCCAGTCTTCAATTAAAAAGAAATGCTAGTTTTATAAAAGTTAATTGTCCCCTAAGGACATACATTATTGTAACTGCCAAATTAAATTTATTTGTTACTGTATAAATTACAGATATTAATGACTTTACATGTACTTTTATCCCCTTTACCACTGATTGGCTCATTAACCACTTGAGCGGTCAGTCACATCTCTGTTACACACTGTTGGCAAGTACTGGGCATGCACTGGCTCCTGAATGTATCTGAACCTGCTCCAGTGCTGGTCAAGTCTGGTCTTGAAACAACTCACACTCAGTACCGTCATAACATTTTCTGGCAGGGTGTTTCAAGAGTTCACAACTCTCACTCCGAAAAAATTCACTCTCACAGTTTTCTGGACTTGCGGCTTCTTCAACCTTGAGCTGTGACCCTTTGTGGAGCGAGCATCCGCCAGCTCCAGGTAAGGACACTCGACTGAGTAGTGCCCTTTGAGATGTTTATACACACCTCAATTAGGTCTCCCCCTGCCCGTCTGTAGTACTGTATAAGCAAGGCAGTTGCAGGCGTTCTATTCTCTTTGGATAGCTGAGGTGCTGAAGAGCAGGCACTAGTCTGGTGGCCCTCCTTTGGACATTTTCAATTAACTGAAAGTCCCTAGTATATGTCAGGGACCAGACGGGGTGACAGTACTCCAGGCGGGGAAGCACTTCACTCGTGAAGATCATTACGAGGGATGGACTGTCTAGATATCTGAACGACCTTCTTATAAGACCTAATAATTTAGTTTCTTGATTCACCTTCTCACAATGGCCCGAGAACTTCAGTTCATTGTCAACATACACACCTAGGTCCTTTTCACCTTCAGTCTCTATTAATGCAGTTTCTCTGTCCCGTTGGGACATATGATAGGCCTCCTTACTGTTAGTATAACCTAGGTGCAGCCTCTTAGCAGTCATTTCCTGATCATTCTTGAAGCTCACAGAGATCTTTTTGCAAACATTTGTATGGAGAAGTGTATAGCTTCTAGCATGTCATGAAACAAACAAACAACAACGGGCCCAATACACTGCCCTGTGGTACCCCGCTTGTCACGGCTACACATGATGATTGTGTACCATTAATCACCACACACTGTTTGTGATCATGTAGAAAGTCTCCAATCCACAACGCTTCCCCAAATCCCGTACCTTTCCAGTTTAATTCTCAGCCTTTCATGAGGTACGCTGGCAAAAACCTTGGCAAAATCAAGGTACTGTATATATTGTCGATATTGCCACCCTGTTCCAGAATTTGGGTCCAAACATCCAGTACCTTGAGTAATTGTGTTAAACAGGAGCGTCCCGGCATAAAACCGTGGTGGCATTCCTTTACAAGGTTGTTTCGAAGTAGATGTTCCATCATAGCATCTTTTATAATGCTCTCAAGTACTTTACACACTAAGCTGGTCAGACTCGCTGGTCTATAATTATTCGTGGAGTGACAATCACCCTTCTTGAAAATAGGACTCACATAAGCCATATTTCAATCAATGGGGACCTTTTGCTCATCCAGGCATCCACAGAACAGGATCTTCAGGGGCTCAGCAAGCTCGTTGCACAACTCTCTTAGCACTCTGGGATGTACCATTTCGGTGCTGGAACTCTTAAGCATCTTTGACTTTGACAATGTATTTCTTATAACCCCTTCTTGAGATGGAGTTGTTAACACAGAAGGAAGGATGAACTTATCTTACATTCAACCTGTGGCAGATCAAAGGTTTTACTAAGATTGGGGAAGGGGGATTGATTGATTGTTTGTGGTAATTACATCCCTGGCAACACAACAGCTTGGGTCATATGTCACCAAATTAAAATAAAAGCTTAGAAGATTAAAATCAAATAATGCAAGGTAGAAAACATAAATAAATAGCATAAAACTTTTGTAAAAGTCATTTAAACGGTAATATATAAAACCCAACGCTTGTGTAGAAGGCAGGCTTCTTCCACGAAGGAGAGGACATCCCGTCCCATGCTACCTACTCCCTCCCCCAGCACCAAAGACAGACGGTAAGACCCATCTCCCCCTGGCACTGGGAGAGGTGCTCATGACAAATTTCTCTGAAACTGGGGCACTCTACCAGGAGGTGTCGAACAGTTAATGGAACCATGGAGTCATCGCAATCTGGAGGGGAAGCCCTCAACATTAAAAAACCATGAGTCAGTCGACTATATTATACACTACGGTACATGTGTTCATGGACTACCAAATAATTAAAAACTAAATGGATTATCTTAAATACCTACTGTATCTGTTACAACCTTCAGGTACCGCAAGCAAATTAAACCAAACAGGAGACATTCACCAGTTCCTCCCCCACCTAAAGATGATGATGACACGGAAACTGAAGAAGTTGAAAATTCCAAAGGAGAAGGTTAGTCTTGTCCAAGTTTGAAATTTGCTTCAGAAGGGACTATTGATTCACAAAATATACATCATTTACAAAAATGGCTAAATTGCTGCATGTGTCAGTGAAATTTGTAAAATTACTGACTCATTTGTAATGATACTGATTTATAACTTCTTTCCTGGTAGCATATATTCTGACAGGTAGGGTTTCAGTTTTCCGGGATATTTTTCTTCATATTTTTGTGGCTTAAATTAAGTTACAGTATATCCAGTTTACTGTACAGTATACATAATTACTGTAATGTTACCTGGTACTGTACAGTATTGGTATGGTAAAATATTGTTTAATTATATGCTGCCATGGGCTTATGTTTCCAGTCTTTTCTTGTTTACAAAACTGCAATTGAAACAATCAGTGAATGACATTGTCAGCGTGACTACAGCTAATGAAACTGAATCACTTGTGTTACTGCTGATGTCCGGACAAGTACAAAACAAACAAACAGTTAATTGCAATGGGTCATGTAGTGTAAGGAACCCAAGCAACAAGTTCACATCCCCACCCCCATACCTTTATCATATTAAAGGATGCCCTGCACATTACCTTACTCTATTAGTCCCAACATCAGTTCTTAGTAGTTTTTTATACTGTATATAGTAAGTGATATCTCCATTGCCTTAACAATTGGTGCAAATTACTTCCAGGAATGAGAGATTTCTGGGTAACGAGACGACTCTCTCAATGCAGGGAAAAATCCTTCATCCCTGGAATTTTCCGTGTAATATAAAAATGTTCCCAGAAGTTCCAGAATGATGCATTCAGTACATCATCTCTCGAACTCAGAAAAATATCTTCCATCCCTGGAATTTTCCTAGTACCCTGTACCGCGGTACGTACCCGAAAAATTTTCTCAGAATTTTCGGAAAATGCACCTGATTATCATCTCTCAAACCTGGGAAAAAAAATCCTCCCTCCCCAGAATTTTCTCAAAATTTTCAATTCCTGCTATCGAAGAGTTCCGGGTTTGAGGGATTCTGGCTAATGGAGATATTACTATTACAGTACTGTACTGTACTGTACTGTACTGTACTGTACATGGGAACTTCCATATGCTTAGTCTCATTTAGAGTCCATCCCTACCCAATCCTAATCTAGCCTTACCACATCAGTTGTATTGCTTTCCTATGACACCTCTATTTTTTTTTTACAGAAAATCCTGACCTGACCATCACTTCTAATGAGTCGGAACGTGCGATTGGCATTGGAAGCATTCCTGAAAACTCTGTCATCAGGATCCTGGTGGAATGTGGTGCTGATGTCAACGCTCGTGATATATACGACCAGATACCCTTGCATTATGCTGCAATGAGAGGCAATGATCCCGCTGCCAGGGATCTTCTTAAATGTCCTCATATTCAATATGAGGTGAGCTCTATAAAGTATTATTTGACAGTAGAATGATGCAAGACAGAAATATCTTATTAACCAGTCAGTCAAGATGCCAACTTCTTGGCTGAAGGTTTGAAACCACAGCTCTGTACTACAAATGTTTTTGGGCTGTCTTTACCAAACTTTCCAAATTTTGAAACTCTCTGGGGTCCCAGCTTTTAACCTCTTGTGTTAGCCAAATAAAATATTAAAAGTGACATTCAGACTCAGGGGCAGATCCAGGGGGGGATTTTGTCCCCCCCCCCCCCTCATCATCAGAAAATTCCAATAAATGTACCTGTTCTTTATTGCAGTATTGTACTGAGGTATTTTTGTATAGTAAAAATAAATTACTATTAACCTCAGAATATCTCCTAATATCAAATGCACATGGCCTCAAAATGCCCATGCCCCCTCAAAAAATCCTGTTAGCTGGCCTCACTGTGCTCGCCATATTCCCCCTTCACAACTTCTTGAACTCCTCCCCCCCACCCCTTTGATATTCCTGGATCTGCTCCTGCATCCAGTAGTGTAGGGTTAAATTCCTTCATCCATTCCAGTCTCTGCCTTCCTTTGGCCTTCTTACCCTAAATTACTGTTTGCCCAACAATTTTTCCACATTTATTCCTTCATCCCAAATTATATGTCCAAAGTACAGGTCAGTAATATAATTTTTCTTATTCTAAAAATTTCCAGTATTTTTCTTTTGTTTTTCTTGTAAATTTATTACTTTTCATTTGTTTTTGTATCGGTATACTGTAGCTTATCTGTAGCATTATCCTGTAGCAGCACATACCAAAAGCCCTGACCTCCTTTCGTTATCTGCTGAATGACTCCATATTTTTTACTTATTCTAAAGATATTGCATATCAGTAGCTTCATTTTCAAACTTAAATTAGTGTCCCTTTTTTTTACAGGTCTCTAGATTATCAAATGATGTTTTTTCTATGACTCTTTGTTTTAAATTTGTGAAGTGCAGTGGTCCCTCGGTTAACGAACACAATTCGTTCCAGAAGGTCATTCGTTAACCAAATCCATTGTTTCAATGGGATATTGGGTAATTCGTTCCAGCTCACCGAAAAGTACATACAAAGTAAAAAAAAAAAAAAAAATGCAGTTAAGTACACTTACTTTGAGGTGTGTATGTAGAAGGTTCCTGGTTGATGATGATGATGATGATGGGAATTAGAAGTGGGGGTGGAGCAGAAGGGAGAAGAGAAGGAAGTGGGGATGGAAGAGAAATCACCCCATGCTTGATGCCGTCATTTCACCAATAAAATTTTAAGTCCACTAGGTGTAATTCAAGATTATTTTCTTTAAATCAACACTGCACTGCACTGCACTATATATTGTCAATATGATAAATAAGTTTCAGAATGACCAATAATTGTACTGTAAAAATGTAAAAATACTCTGTGTTCAAGAGCCCCACAAGCAAGATGTTTCCTCCACTGAACAGAGACACAAACTGAGGCCTTGGTGGGTGAGTGAAGGGGCTGATAGGCTCACCAAAAACTAGTTCCCTGTACTGCAATTATGTTACCGTAAATAAGTGTTAAAATGACTAAAAATTTTAATACAAAACTTGGAAAATTATTGAATAGTATACAACCTTCTTGATGTTTACTCCAATTTTAACGATTGTAAGCCCTAGAACCGATTTCTGTATTGGCAGACTAATCTTCCAGCTGGTGAGCAAGCCAAAACATGTCGAAACATTTTCATAAGAATTTCATTAACCGAATTTTTGTTCGTTAACCGAAATGAAGATTCTTATGGAAAGTAATTTGTTAACCGAAATATCGTTAACGGAGGCGCTCGTTAACCGAGGGACCATTGTATTGATTATAATAAAATTCTACCAAAGTACCTTATGTCTCATTACTCTGATAATATAACCCTTTTACTTTTTTATTTCCCCTAAGGCACGCGATAAGCAGTTAATGACTCCACTCTTTGTCTCTGCAACCTTTGGGTATGTGGATATCAGCCGACGTCTTATTCTAGCAGGATCAAGCCTCTTCTCAAAGGATGAATCAGAACAAATACCTTTGCACCGTGCTTCAATGGAGGGCCACATGGTAAGCCTGTGTTAAAACTTTATACCAAAGAAATTTAAAACAATCTTTCAATGATTCATGTACAGTAATAGAAGAAAAGAAGTTTCCCTTCCATCTTTTTCATGTACAGTACAATACTGTACACCAGTGGTGGCTCGTCGGTAGGTACTGTGGAACTGCTGCACCCCCTATTTCACCCGATATATATGTACGTATTATATAATATAATATATCATAATGTTTATTTATTTATACTTGTACAAGATATTTAAAACTATTATCAATAATCCTTAAACTTAATGTCATGGCCATCCTCTAATTCCGAGAAAACAACAAAAATCCCTGTATGTGGAACTGTCTTACTCAACAGTTCCAATAATGGGCATTTGTTTTGTCGCACGCATGCGCGCATGTCCTGGAGGCAAGCGGGGACAAGCACTGTGGATCACACAGTGCCGATCCGGTTATCAGTGTGGGACGTAGTGTTTACGCATCATCCTGTGTGGTGCTTACGCGCCGTCTGCTATATCAAGAGTATTTGAATGTGATAAATTGTAGATGATGTGATACCATACTGTATGATATCACATAATCTACAATTTATCACATTCAAATACTCTTGATATAGCAGACAGCGCGTAAGCACCGCACCGGATGATGCGTATGATTCATACGCATAGAGACTACATTTTGTATTCATTGTTTTTTCCAGAAACTTTATTGTGTAGAAGAATTTGAATTGATTAAACATGGCCTCCTTGTTTTCCCAAGAAACAAGTTCTGTGACAGTGAGTTAACTTCAACAACTTAAATTTTCACAGTTGTCTCTTCATGAGAAAGTTGCTATTAAGACAAGAGGCCGTCCCTCACCTGATATTCAAATATCTCAGCCAGGAATAAGCAACAGTAAGAGGTATATTTGTAGCTTTCATTCAGAATGGTACCAAAGGAAAAATTGGCTCTGTGGTTGTGAAGTAAAAAATACATTATTTTGTTTTCCGTGTTTGTTGTTTGGAATTGGAAGCGATGTAACTTGGACAAAAGACGGCTTTAGAAATATAAACAAAATGAAAGAAAAAACTGAAAAACATGAAAAGTCAAAGGAGCATATTGAAAGCGTGGTTTCACTATCATTTTTAGGAAGCGTAAATATTAAAGAAAAACTTAATGAAGCCTATAGACTTTCGATCAATGAGCATAACAGGAAGATTACCAAGAACTGTGAAATTTTATCCAAGATAATAGACTGCATTACATTTTGTGGAAACTTTGAAATTCCTTTACATGGACATGATGAAAAAGATGATTCAGTAAATCCAGGTGTATTTAGGGGATTAATAAATTTTGCATCTAAATTAGACCCAGATTTAAAGAACCATTTAGAAACAAGTACAGTCTTCACAGGTGTTTCTAAGACTATTCAGAATGAGATACTTAACTGCCTGCTGCAGATATACCATGATGAGATAAAGAAAGAGATTAAAGAAGCTTCATTTGTAGCTGTCATGGCTGATGACACAACGGATGTTTCAGAACACACTCAAATGGTAATTGTACGGTACGTGCTGAATGAAGAAATATTTGAGCGTTTTTGGGGATTCTTTAGTATTCCAGAAAATCAAACTGCAGTCAAAATGTATTCTAGAGCAGTTAGATATAATCCTTCAAGGAAATAGACAAAAACTGATAGCTCAGACATTTGATGGTGCAAATGTCATGAAAGGCAAAAAAGGGGGGCGTTCAGGCAAAAATAAAAGCAGTTTATAATAATGCACATTTCATTCACTGTTATGCGCACCAACTGAATCTGATAACGAGAAGTGCAGCAAGTATTACGCGGGACTCAAGAATATTTTTCTCTAACGTTTTGGCTATACCAACATTTTTCTCAAGATCACCACAACGTGTATCCATTCTCAATAAGCGTATGAACGTCAGCATTACGCGCCCATCCTCTACAAGGTGGAACTTTAACATACGGACCGTGAACAAAGTTCATGAAAATTTGCAACCTTTAAAAAGCTGCCTTGCTGAAATCCAGTCGACGGTAAATGCAGATCGAACCATTTCAGAAGCAACAGGAATTTTGCACTACCTGAATAATGAAAAATCCATGTTCTGGTTGGAGCTTTTTCATCAGATCATGCCTCATGTTGAAGTAATTTACAACCAAATGCAGTCTCGAGAAATTTATGTGTTTAAAGTACATGAATATATAACAAATTTCAAAACTGCTATTTTAGAAATAAGAAACTCGAAGTACTGTGAGAATCCTTCAAAGACGCTCATGGCTGAAGCAAAGGAAGTATGTGACTGTATATGTGTTGATATAGTGGAGAGATATTCTTTCACTAAACAATTAGTAGCTGCTAAATTATTCAACAAGAAAAGCTTCACTAGTTTTAAGAATAAACTGCCTACAGAAGAGATAGGATTGACCACTGAAGCATATCCTATGATTGACAAAGAAAAATTTTAAACTGAACTTAGAGTATTCTACAGTAGGTCCGATATGCATGAATATTGCAGGTTAATTAACCTGCTGAAATTTATCTTGGAAAATAATTTAGATGGTGTTCTTAGTGAGATTACGAAACTGATGAAAATCCTCTTGACATCCTATGACAACATCAGAGCCTGAATGCTGCTTTTCAACATTAAAAAGAACAAAAACTTTTCTGAGGAGCACTGTGAATCAGGAAAGGCTAAACGCACTTGCAATGATTTCAAAGGAGAAAAATTTCTTTAACAGTCATCCAAACATCAATGAGAAAGTTGATGACCTTTTCGCTCAAAAGAAATCAAGAAGAATGGATTTTATTTTAAAATAAATTTGGATCAAGCTAGACTGGAGTATTTTATCTGTAAGTTTTAAATATTTTTTATTTTTTTATTTTTACCATACTTTTATTATTTTATTATTTTTATCAATATATATATATATACCTACTGTATATCTGTGTGTGTGTGTGTGTGTGTGTGTGTCTTACACAATATTAAAACAATTCTTAAAAATGTTTTGAAGCAGCACCCCCACGAATTAGAGTCATGAGCCGCCACTGCTGTACACTGTATAGTATTCACAAGTACAGTAAGTAAAAGATGTCCATTTATTCCCTTATGTCAATAATTTTTAGCTGACCTTAGATCCATAATGAATATCATAGCTGAAGAACTACAGAACTGGCAAACAAGTTCGAAAGTCCTTGGATTTAGCATTGGTCAGGGTAGTGTCTATGTGAATTAGGAATATTGCTACATATGCCTCAAGTGATGCATATGTGATTGGATATACTGTACCAGCATATCTAAGAATGTATAGTACATACACCAAAAGCAGTGATATACTGTATATACAGAGTACAGTACAGTACTGTGTAGTATCCATTCACTGAAGAAAGATACATAGTTCAAGGACTCGAGACACTGTAGCTCTAAGTCAACGTTGCCTCTGTGATTGTACTGTACCATAAAGCAAGTGGTTGCTAGCAGATTACACTCCAGACCCATCTGTAGGATATACAGTACTGTACCAGAAAAGCTGCAGTGACTCTCAGGGATTTGTATTGAATAGGCGAGTCTCATTAATGTACTTCATCATGAATTAAAAAACATACCAGGAACACAAAGATGGATATACCTTTGTATGTCACATAAGAACTAAATGGGTGTGAAAACAATAATAAAATACAGTATTTGAGGTGTATTTGTAAATTTAAAAAATATTGAAATATTCATCAGTCAATTTTGCTCATAATTTATGAAATTTTGGTTCAGTGGCAGGATGATTATTGCACTGGGTCGGCAGTCCATTGGTCCTGGGTTCAAATCCTTATTAAGGAGGCAATGTTTGGTTAATGTCTAGTGTGGGCCAATATTACATCACCACTTGCTTCTTATAAAAATCCAACTGGCTCAAGAATATACTAACAACAGGGAAAGATATCCTGTCTCAACCTATGCATGATATGTGATGCCAGGCCCACATGACAGACACGCTGGGTTAACTCATGCATGGTGTACTAAGGAAGCCTAGCTTGGGTATAAGTTGCAATTTCAGGGCACACCCTTATGTGTACCTCTTGCACATAACAAAAAATGTAATGGTAGCAACATAAGCAAGAGTAAGTTATATTCATTCTAATACTGTACAGTACAGTACTTGTATTATATGGAATGAAATTTAAATTTATAGTTAATGTTATTGCATTTGTTTTAGAGTGTTCATATATATTTGAAGCCATAAAATTTCCTGCTAACATTGTAAGCTGCACCAACCACGTTTTTTCCTTGTGATATTAAAGTGCTGTACCTCTACTTTTAAAAAGAAAAACTTGAGACATTTAACCATATTTTAGAGTAAACCTGTTGACTTCTTATACCTAAAATTCCTTTCTCTTCAACTCAATAGGAAATTATTGAGTTACTGCTGACGTCTGCATCAACAGAAGGTGGGGAGGTGGTGAAGCGCTTAGTGAGTGAGCGAGACAGTGAAGGCCAGACATCACTTCATCATGCTGTCAACAATGGTCACATCCAGGTTTGTTTCTCAGAATTAGAATTAAAAAGAAATTACAGTATCCTGTTCAGCAAAAATGACACAAGTTTGCAAACTCTCAGTAACAACAGGGTGGTAAACAGAAATTCTGTAAAGTACTGTACAAATAATTCCAGTTTGTGAAGAATATCACCACAAATTTCAACATTTACAGTACTATGCAGGTCCCAAAGTACATACAGTACTGTACTGTAATTAATTAATAAATTAGAAAGTAACAGTTGCAGTACAGTATTTAATTTTCCATTACAGGTTGCTGCACGCTTGCTAGATGCAGGCGCAGATGTTGATGCTGTGCGAGACACCCTGGCCACACCTCTTCATGCTGCAGCTGCGGTTGGCGATACAGACCTAATTAATTTGTTATTGGAGGTTAGGTTTTGCATAATTTTTATTTATATCACTTTAATAATGTACAGTCCCCAAAAAAGTATAATTAGGCATGAGGTCGATGTGATTCAAGGTTTTCCAAGCAATGTTACTCGACCTGTTTCTGAACAGTTGGTAGTTCTATATCTGCCACCTTTGAGCATTTTCTTTCTTTTTTTAACAGGGATTAGCCCACCCGGGCACAGGTCACTGACCCACATAGGGGCCTGGGGGGCGAAAATGTAATAATTATTCATAGTAAATAAAATTTATAATAAAAAGTAAAATAAAATAATAATGATAACAATAATAATAATAACACTGTAATAATAATAATAATAATAATAATAATAATAATAATAATAATAATAATAATAATAATAATAAAGAAATACAAACATAAAAAAAAATTAATAGTGAGAAGCAATATATGTATGTTGTGTTGTCAAGTAAGAGAAACAATTGAGACCTGCAACTGTGTGTAAATGAGGTAGAAAGACAGATCAGCAATCTGGGACTTGGTCACAATTTTTGTGATGCCATATGGCAGCAGGGTCTACCATTAGACAACACATTATGTTTCCAATATCTTCCCAGGCGGTAGTTGAGTATACATATACATTTTCAAGCGATAGATACATTAATATAGCTTAATGGATTTCTTGTTATATTGAAGTACGTATCTAGTATGCCAAACAAGGACGACTTCCTCCCCTAATCCGACCCCATCTCTAGCTGTTGCTGATATGGCCAGCAGACATACCAATTTATGATGATGCACTAGGGATCATATCAAAGCATTTCGTTTACCGTTTCAAATTGTAGCGATGGAAAATCTAACGATACTTTTTGGGGGGACTGTACAACAGGATCTTGTCCAGAGACAGTACAATATTACAGTACGACAATACTGTATTAGTATCATGAGGGTACTAATAAAGTACTGTATGTGCTTCCTTATAGATGGCATGTATTGAACTTAGTGCAGATTTTCCTTTCCATTGTCCTTCAAACCTTTCCTTTCCGGTTTGGAATCATGCAGGTCTTGTTGAATAACCCCGTATGCCAGAAATCCAAGAGTTCAAGCATAAGGTCCCATTTTATGGACGAGAGAAAAATGCAAGTAGTGTAACCTGGAATGCTTCCCGCCTTCCTTGGTGGGTTTCCTTGGTGTCAAAAAAATCTAAGTGAAGTTTAAACTGAAGTTTATCACTGTGGGTTCTGGCCATGTAGACCAGGTCTGTAATATATTGCCTTATAAACCCGAGTTCAGTAACATGAAAAGCAGTTTATTCAATAATTTACATTTATCTGACAGGAGAGTGTCCCTGCTTCAGAACAAGGCAGTCTGTGTCAGGGGTGTTCTGTTAGGGATAATTTGCAGGTCACTCACCCTTCACCTCAGCCACATAATGAAATTTCATACTCCAATTTCTCTGTTTTTAAGTTTTTCATTTCCGCCTTCAAAACATTTACAGAATCATGCACGGCTGGACAGTGTTGACTGTAACCAACAGACGCCTCTGCATCGTGCCGCTGACCATAACCAATCAGCAGCTATTATCACCTTACTTGAGGCTGGGGCTAAAATTGAAAGAAGAGACAAGTGAGTAAATACACTTACTGTATTCCTATTTGGCATCACCTTATGAGCAACAAATGATCTTCAGTAAGATATGCACACTGATTTTTTCAAAATAACCTTACAGTATCCCAGATTTTGCTACTGACTGTCCAGTAGTGTAACTCTGGAAGGATGCTAATACAGTATTTGGAATGGATATAAATAAATGAAGTCGGGTGTCATCCTCACGTTTGAGTGTTGGCGACCACGGCCCTCCACTCCAAATGTTTTAGAACAGTTTTTACCAATATTCCAGGTTTTGTATATCTTTTGGGACCCAGCTAGTAATTTTATTCATTCATCCCATTTCCTGCCTTTGCCTGACTTCCCCTCAATTCTACCCACTAATATCCCTACATCCCTAATTATACACTATATCCAAAGTATCTCATCTTTCTTATCTTGTACAGTATCATCATCAAACTTTTACAGCCATTTTCCATGCTTGTATGGATTAGCTGTGATTGCCTGATGGCAACTCTCCTAACTTCCTTCTGGTGTCTGTTGAAAGTGTCCACACTTTACTCATACAAAACTACCAATCATGCTTTGTATTCCTACAACCATTTTCTCAAGCTGTAATTATTGTAAATTTTCAACCATTTCAAGGACGATTGTATGTTGTACAGTTTTTTCTTTCACTTTTACAGTCACTTTTTATGTTACTTCCCAGATACGTAGAATTTCTATCTGTTCAAGGTCCTTGTTGCCTATAATATATTTTTTTCAGGAATTATTTGTCATTTGGAAACAATTCTTGTCTTTAAGGAAGAAACTCAATGACTATATGCCATTTTTTTTTCAAAATTAAACTTATAATTCTCTTGATCATCTTTCTCAAATATGTTTTGGTCATCTCTCCTCTTCTTTTGCTTTTTTCTGCTATTAACCACTGCTGCCTCTGATTATCACATGTAATTTCCTCAGGGACTCCTTCACACCGCTGTTAGTTGCAGCGAGTGCAGGCCATGCAGCAGCAGTGCAGACTCTTTTGGACCATGATGCTGATGTGGAGGCATTTGACAAGGATGATAAAACTGCTGTATTTTGGTGTGCTGAGCAAGGCAATGAAGAGGCTTTAGAGGTACATATATATCTTAATATAAATATTTTAGAGATATGATTTTGAAATACTTTTTGATACTTGGGAAGTACAATGCAATATGTATTTACAATAATGTACCAGAGACAGGTACTACGGTATATGCTTAAAAGATTCATTGAAGACAGATATATTGATTTAGTTAATTTCTTATCATTTTAATAGTTGATTCAATTGCGTACAGGCAGTACCCAGTTTATGAACTCACTTTAATCTTTTACTTTTATCCTCTTCGCCACTGATCGGCTTGTTAGCCGCCCGGGCGATCGGTCACGTCTCTGTCACGCACTGTTGGCAAATACTGGGCATGCACCGGCTCCTGAATGTACCTGAACCCGCTCCAGTGTTTGTCAAGTCTTGTCTTGAAAGAACTCACACTCAGTGCCGTCACAACACTCTCTGGTAGATTGTTCCAAGAGTTTACAACCCTCACTCCGAAAAAGTTTGCCCTCACAGTTTTCTGGACTTGTGGCTTCTTCAATCTTGAGCTGTGACCCCTTGTGGGGCGAGCGTCCACCAGCTCCAAGTAAGGACACTCAACTGAGTAGTGCCCTCTGAGATGCTTATACACCTCAACTAGGTCCCCCCTTGCCCGTCTGTAGTATAAGCTAGGCAAGTTCAGGCGCTCCAATCTCTCAGGGTAGCTGAGGTGCCGAAGTGCAGGCACCAGTCTGGTGGCCCTCCTTTGAACATTTTCAACCAACTGACAGTCCCTTGCATATCTCGGGGACCAGATGGGGTGACAGTACTCCAGATGGGGAAGCACTTCACTCCTGAAGATCGTTACGAGGGACGGACCGTCTAGATATCTGAACGACCTTCTTATAAGACCCAATAATTTATTTGCCTGATTTACCTTCTTCTCGCAATGGCCCGAGAACTTCAGCTCATTGTCAACATACACACCTCGGTCCTTCTCACATACAGTCTCAACTAGTGCAGTTTTTTCATCCAATTGGGACATATGATACGCCTCCTTACCGTTGGTACGCCCCAGGTGCATCCTCTTACACTTCGTGACATTGAATCTCAGCAACCATTCCTTTGACCATTCCTGGAGCCCACAGAGGTCCTTCTGCAGCTCTTCACAGTCAGCTTGGTTCTTAATTTCCCGAAATAACTTAGCGTCATTGGCAAACATTTGTATGGAGGAGTGTATAACGTCAGGCATGTCATTTATTAAACAAACAAACAACAGCGGGCCCAATACACTGCCCTGTGGTACCCCACTTGTGACAGGTACGGATGACGATTTCGTGCCATTAATCACCACACACTGCTTGCGGTCATGTAGAAAGTCTTCTATCCATACTAGGACATTTCCCCGAATTCCGTACCCTTCCAGTTTGATTTTCAGCCTTTCATGGGGTACGCTGCCAAAAGCCTTGACAAAATCTAGGTAAATATTGTCGATATTACCACCCCGTTCCAGAATAATGTATGGGTCCAAATATCCAATACCTTGAGCAATTGTGTTAAGCAGGAGCGCCCCGGCATAAAACCGTGTTGCCAATCCTTTACAAGATTGTTTCGTATTAGATGTTCCATTGAGGCATCTCTGATGATACTCTCAAGTACTTTACATATTATGCTGGTCAGGCTCACCGGTCTATAGGTGTTCATGGAGTGCCGATCGCCCTTCTTGAAGATAGGACTCACATAAGCCACTTTCCATTCACTGGGGACCATTTGTTAATGTGTTCCTGAAAATGTCTTTGCAAAACAGATCAATAAATCCCATAGAAACAATGATATAAATAATTGATTGGTTCCCAGAGCAAGTGAAAAAAAATATTAAAACATATATTTAAGTAAAAATATTAATAAATGCACAAGTATCAAAACATGATCAATGGTACTTCCTTTACACTTATCACCCATTGTTAATTGTTAATATAATACAGTAAATTATAATTATTTCACCAAATGAATTATCAGTGTGACGCCACTCAAGTAAAGAAGATGCATTATGAGTGTGTGTGTGTGTGTGTGTGTGTGTGTGTGTGTGTGTGTGTGTGTGTGTGTGTGTGTGTGTGTGTGTGTGTGTGTGTGTGTGTGTGTGTGTGTGTGTGTGTGTGTGTGTGTGTGTGTGGAACTATGTACAGTACACCCACACACTGTTCATTTTCCCACATTCAAGTGTCTGAATTTCTGTTTTTGGTAAAATGGTGACATTATGTTTAAAGGAGCTGTGTTTGTACTATTAAAGAAATGAGTGTTTGAAAGACTGAAATATAGTCACAATGTACTGTACTGTATAATTTTCATATGCCAGATGCTCAGAAACTGAGGATTGCCTGTACAGGTATATCAGAACTTCATTATAAACGGAAACTAAAGATTATCCTGTCAGTTTTTTATCATGGATATACTGTATACATACTGCAATGAATTAACAAGTAATGTGTGTTATGTGAATACTATAAAATTTATTCTAATTTTCTGTTCATGTACTGAAATTTTCTGCATCATCATAGTCTTAACTGATACCCAGTTACTTGAAAGGATCACAAAGATATTTACTCACAGGTTCTTTTGAATAACATTCACTGCCAAGAACTGGTAGACGTGAGTGATAGATATGATAACTCACCATTGCACGAGGCCGCAAAACACGGCTACATGATCATCATTAATAAGCTACTAGAGGCAGGATCTTTAGTAGACAATAAGAATGAAGATGGGGAAACAGCACTTCATGTGGCAGCTGAAGCAGGTCATGTCAAGTAAGTTCTAAAACAGTTAATTCTCTTTATATAATGTAGAGAGGTGCAGTACAGCTCCTCCCCGACTTACGACCTACTCGACGTACGACCACCCGCACTTACGACCTGCCTCAGTCGAACCAAAATTTTGTCAAATTATGGATTTTCGAGTCCCAACGTCAGTGTACAGTACTGACAAAATTTCCGTTTGTAATTCACTTTAAAATGGCTGGCAAGCTTAAAAGTGAGAGTTTTGTGGTGCTGAGAAGAAAAAGAGACACCCATTTTAGATTTTCTATGTATTATTTAAGCATTTTCGACTTACGACCAATTCGACTTACGACCTAGATTTGGGTCCCTAACCCCGTCGTATGTCGGGGAGGAGTTGTAATTATGTAAATTCACACATTTCTCTGCTGGGTTTCTGACCCAGAATGATTATATAAGTGATATCCCTGTTAGCCGGAATAATCGGTGCCGAGCTCTTCCTATGATGAGAGATTTCCAGTTACAGTGAGTTCTGCTATAACGCGTGTTTTGATAACGCGAATTTGCTCTAACGCGATTTATGAATTCGGAACAATATTTGTATAACGCGAACGCTTGTTTGCTATAACGCGATTTTTGCTTACTATTTCTCCAATTTTGTGGTATTAACTGTGAATATAGTAAAGAAGAATATCTCCAAAAAGCGTTCTGATGATAGAATTCCCGGTGATTATCGTAAAAGAAAGGATATAACACTTGAAGAGAAGCTCGATGTTATCAACCTCAAAATCACCCTTCTCCCCCATCAAGTTACATTCATATTTTTTCAAGGTAAAGTGTTAAATTTACTGTATGATTTCATTATTAGATATGAATGTAACATTTATTTAGACTGTGCTATCCTTTGTGTTAGGCTAACTACTAAATTTTTTCGATTTCGAGTAATCTGCACCTAACCCTATTTTCTCCATAAGCCCTGTTATTTCTATTACGCGATTTTCTATAACACGATATTTTACAAGAACACAATTATCGCGTTATAGCAGAACTACCTGTACTGAGAAGACTCTTTCAAACACAGAAAAAATCCCACATCCCAGAGTTTTCCAGAAAATGCAATTATTGTACCTGTATTTCATCCTCAGAATTTGCTCCCAGACCCAGAAATTTGGGGGATAAAGTTTCCAGAATCTTCCAGAATGACGCATCACTGTATTTCATTCTCGTAATTTGTTCACAAACCCAGAAAAGAAAAATTGGAGTGCTTCCAGAATTTTATCAAAAATTTTTAGAATTACACTATATATTTCAACCTCAGAATTTGCTACTAGACCAGGGAAAAAAACATTGGAGAGAATTTCAGTAGGTTTTCTTGAAATTTTCCTGAAAATGCACCTGATTTTCAACCTCGGAATTTGCTCCCAGATCAGGGATTTTTTTTGGGGAGATTTTTTGGAATTTTATCAGAAAATACTCTTGATTTTCAACCTCGAAAACTCATTCACAGGCCCAAAATTGAGAATTTTTCCAGAAAAATTCCGAGCCAATTTCATTTCTGGGTACCGGTATTGGAGAGTTCTGGCTAACAGATTTACAGGAATTATTGCTCTTGGTATAAAATCAAAAGACTATTACTGTACAGGTTGTTAAAATTGAAAGATTTAATTAAAGTACCTGTACTGTAATTATTAGTATTATTTATGTAATCCATTTATATTTTAAAAATAAATGATTTTGAAGTTTGTAAATCATATCTCTCAAATGCAAGTAAAAGTATTTTTCAAAATACATTACAGTGTACTATGTAAATAACATATACTGTATGTAGTTAGTGAATAAGCATTACAGTATCACCTTCATGGTGTAACAATATTCCATATATTAAACAGAGTGGTGCGGGAATTGATTCATCGCTACAAGTTTCTCCTCTCGGATGAGAATGAGGAATCTAATACACCTTTACACTTAGCCTGTTTACAAGGACATACAGATGTAGTACGGACTCTCCTGGAAGCAGGAGCAGCTGTGGATGCCACAAACTCCTCTCTCTGGACACCACTTGACTGTGCATCTGCCAAGGGTCATGTCATGTGTGTTCACCTGTTGCTTGATTATGACTCTCCATTGGATCCTCTTGATAAGGTATGCAGGTATATAAAATTCATATTCACATTCAAATCTTTTATTCTAGTAGAATATTATTAGTTTACAAATTTTAATTAACATGCACAGTACAATATAATATGTTTTGAATGGGATATTAATAAAGTGCAAGGCACATGTTTTGACAAAATATAGATAGGAAGAATATGCCTTGTAAAATAGATTGCTTGTATGTGATATATTTAAAAGTGCAGAGAAAGGAAGGTGTGTTCTGAGGAGAGTGAGAAAATTGAAGGAACAGAATGTACAGTAGGTGAAGCATTTTATGTGGAGTTGAGAAAACTGGAAACATCCCGTGAGAGTGTGAGGAGTGTAGTGAGATGCTGTGCCAAAATAAAGGATGTGCTACTAAGCACGACTGACAAGATGTGTGGCTGGATGAAGGGCCCAGCCAGGCATGCAGTTAACATGGTGGTGGAATGATGAAGTAGACAGAATGATAAAGAAAATTGTATAAGGCCTGGAAGATTGGTGGTAAGAAGGAGGAGTACCTGGAGGCCAAGTGTAGACCTGTAGGACCAGAGGAGATATGTACAAGGCTAAGAAGCAAGCACAGGATGCATTTGCAGAGATGCTGATTAGTGTAGACACAAGAGGAGAGGTTTTCAGAATATCCAGGCATATAGTGGGTAGACACAAGGATGTTGTTGGTGAGCAGTGTGTGAGGAATGACTATGGTAACTTGGGTCTTAATAATGAGGAAATCAAAGATGCTTGGAGAAAATATTATGAATAATTATGCAATGAGAAATACACATGGGACAGAGGCAGCCTAGAGATAGTAGAACCAGTACAGAAACCATGCCCAAGGATTGAAAAAGAATGGGAGGAAAAAGCAATTTACAAAATGTAAAATGGAAAGGTAGCTAGAAGACATATCGCTGATGACCGAATTGACAGATGCAATCATGATGGCTTGTACTGTTCCAGATGACTGGAGGAAGAATGTGATTGTGGAAACTTACAAGGGTAAAGGTGAGGATATGTCCCTCGACTATGTCAGTGGATTCTGTTAGCTGAGTGACATGATCAGTGCTGGTGGGAGTGCTTAAGCCTGCTCAGTGCAAGAGTCAGAAGTGGTTGGAGGAAATTGGGGGAGCTGCTGCCTTTATTGACCTTCCCTCTTTGTGAAAGGAAGATTGTATGCAGCTGGTGTGAGTAGTGTGATGTATGGCAGTGAAACACGGGAAGTTAAAGGGAATGACATAAGTAGACCTGAGCAAACTGAAATGAAAATGGTGAGGTGAATGTGTAATGTGACATTGAAAGTCAGGAGGCCCTATTCAGTGCTAAGAGGGCAGCTGGGTATTGAGAGTATTAGCGAAGCTCTGTGTAGAGGCAAGGCGAGATGGTTTGGGATTGTGAAGAGGACAGATGAAACCAATTGGATCAAGAGGTGCATGAGTCTAAATGTGGAGGAGAGTTCACAATTGGTGCTGTAACAACATTCCTTGCCTGGTTATTCCAAGTGTTGACAATTCTTACTCCAAAGAAGTTAACTCTGACAGTTTTCTTTACTGATAACTACTTTAACTTGAGGCTGTGAATCTAGTAGGGTGGCTTCCAAATATATATACATTTGACTGAGCAATGTTATCTGAGGTTTTTAAAACTTTCATTAAATCACCTCTTGCTGTTGTGTAGTACAGTGTATAAACTAGGAAATTGATGACATTCTAGTCTCTTGGTAAGTTTGACGACCCTCCTCTGGGCTTTCTCAATCAATTTGGTTATCAAATTACTACTACTTAAACAGTACACCCTAATTATTTGTTTATTATATATACAGCTAGTACTGTACAGTAAAATTCAGTACAGTGTACTGTAATTACAGCATTTAACACTGTACAATAACAAAGGGTGTACTTATCCTACAGTAAATATTGTATAAAAAGTAACAAAACAATGTACGCAGATGGCTTGAAAAAGTATACCAGCATGTCCCCCTCACTGAGAGGAACACTACCCACTTATATCTGTCTTTTCTGCTGACATACAGAATTATTAACTCACACTCAGGATATTTTGCTGAGCACTTATAAAACTATGTAACTTATGACATTATTATTGTATTGTAGAGTTTTCCTGAAATTTTATGGGCTGTATAATCAGGTTTCTCCAATGTTTCAGACAAAAACTACCCCCTTGCAATTGGCAGCAAAAAATGGCCATGTAGCTGTCATCCGACTTCTACTGGAGAGAGGAGCTTCACTGACTGCATGTGATACTTCAGGCAGGAATGCCTTAGAGCTTGCTATTGCTGCTGGCAAAAAGTCAGAACTCAGATAATTATTTCAAGTACTTTGTATTATGTTAATGGGAGAGCTTGCTTAACACTTTAGTCCTAAGTTCAGTCTATTTTTAAGCCATAAAGCATCAAATAAGGAAAAAGAGACCTTGGTTAACCACTGTAGCCTCTTTAACTTTCCTTAATGGTATGATAGTTTAGACCACTATGTCTTCCTGGCATCTCTCTGTTTTGACACAATGATTATATACACAAGCTAAACTTCATAATCATCATATCCCTCGATGCAATATTACTAAATGCTTCACATTTTGCTGTGCATTTTCGTTCTTGTTCATGTTTGCAGCTACTGTACCAGACTCATGGCCACCACATTTACATTCCAATAAATATTCTTCCCCCATGGGGTTGTTGGGTAACTGAGCATCTGTGAAATTTATGAGGGTAAAATATTTCTCTTGGTGATATTTGATATGCTCATGAGACTCGTGGTTCCTCCAGAATATATGGTACAGGATGGGAAACATCAGCCTGTATCTCATGCATTTGTAGGATTCTGGCACCATGTGTAGGTTTGTGGGTAGGATTGAAATGGCTAAAACTGACATTAAAGTTTCAAATATCTTAAAAGTACTGGGAAGAGTACATTATACATTCAGCAGTGTTTCAGTTTGATGGTTGAGAGGACAACAGCTATCTTGTTGAATTCCATGGTATGCAGACTTTCGTTGTATATTTTAGTAAATAGTGGACAAAGATGTCCATTAATTTCCTTCTGTTGTATTTCAAGGGATGTTTGCATGGCGATCATAAAGTCTTCTGAGTGGGAAACAAGCCTGAGGAATGTGAGGATAGACCACAGGGACCGAAGAATCACTCCCTTCAGAATGCTTATCAAAAAATTTCCAGATGTTGCTGAGGCCGTGCTGGACAAGTAATGATGAAATTTATTTAAATCAGAAATATAAAACCAGCTTTGGAATTACTGTACATCAATGGTAGCTACAAACTAAGAACTACTGTATATAAATACTTTTTAATTTAGTAAATTAAATTTAAACATAGGCAAGGGCGTGTTTTGGTAATACTGTAATGCAATAAAATGCCAGCAATTCATTTTGTCATAATAATAATGTGGTTTGTTTTTAGGTGCACTACAACCAATGGCATGGATTCAGATGACAGAAGATTTGCCGTATCATTTAATTTTGAGCTTGTGGATGACACGTATACGACTTATCAATATGGCAATGACATAGATTCACTTGCTTCAAACTCAACCCTTGAATCTCCATTTGATGAAGATGGATTTTTGTTAGACCATGCAGAACCATATACAACTGAGGCAAGGGAACTTAAAGAGAACCATCCATTAATGCTTATGGTTAAATACAAAAGGCTGAACCTGCTAGCTCACCCTGTCTCCATCTCCCTCGTCAAGCACAAGTGGATGAAGTATGGCAGGTAATATTTCTCTGAGGAATTTTGATATAGAATGGATAAATGTTTAAGTTATTCACTGATTATGCAGGAGGTAGAATAATTTGTTTAACTGCTGTGTTACTTTGATGTATGCAATGTACTGTACATCTTAAAAAAAATTAAATCCTCTCAACAGTTCACTTCTGAGATGTTCATTATGTACTGTTACTCATATATTCTAACAAATTTTACTGGATAGTCGGTGATGTACGGCACTTTACGACATTAAGCTTGCAGTCATACTGTATTAGGCTCCATCCACCTTTTGTGCTTTGTTAACTTGATGGGGTAACATTTATGGCAGGCCAGTTTAACCAGCTACTTCAAGAATAAACCAAATCTTAGCAAAAATTATTTACAACAAAAAGAACAGTTCCTGACTTGATGTCCTGGATTAGCAAAAGAATAGCATCTGCACAAAGAGACCTGTTTGATGGCATTTGTAGTGGAGTGATGCAGTCATAAATAGCTTGAGCATGACATATGAAAATTGCAGGACAGGAAAAAATGCTTATCGGTAATAATGCAAAGCAAACAGTGAAAAGTGTTCACTGATTCATAGTGAGGAGTGCCTGTATAATACTGTACATGCCAGATACTTTACTTTATTTTGCCTAGTTTTTCACTGCATTGACAAAGCAGCAATGGTGGCTAATTATGATTGATTGTGATAAAGACCACTTGTCAGTTGTGAATAATCTTGTGATAGAGGAACACTGCCATTAGGTCTTTAACCTGAAAACTAATTTGCCAGCAGATAAAAGCTGTTACAAGGATTAAGTTCTGAACCACCTCACAAAACCCCAATTTTGCTAAGACTTCACCTGTTAAATTTTATTTATTCAATATACTGTACAGGTACTCCTCGACTTACGACCTACTCGACTTATGACTACCCGGACATACGACCGCCGCAGTTGTATAAAATATTTTTCAAATTACGTATTTTCAAGTCCCGACGTTAGTGATCGCGCTGTGTACTAAAAAATTTTTTATTTGTAATTCCCTTTAAAATGGCTGGCAAGCGTAAAAGTGAGAGTTCTCGTGGTGCTGAGAAGAAAAAGAGACACCCGTTTTAGATTTTCTATGTATTATTTTCGCATTTTCGACTTACGGCCAATTCGACTTACAACCTGGTCGTTGGTCCCTAACCTCGTCGTAAGTCGAGGACTGACTGTATATCACATATATACATACATAAATATGGCTTTGTTAATTTTTTTATTAATAAGAGATTAAAATAAAATAAAAAGTTTCTCGTGGCTGCATATCTGCCACCAATTCATGTTTTCTTAACATACAGTAATTGTTATTCACCTTTACTTCCTTTGATAAATGTGTAACAGTTTGGCAATCTAACTACCGGTACCTGTAGAAATATTACAAAAATTTCCAAGAAAACTACCTGTACAGTACTTGTATGGCATTTTACACACCTGCATGCACTCAAGCACGCCCCAATACTAGTAATTTACATCACTGATCATGTGACTATACGTGTGTGTTGCTTGCCAAATGATGACAATAACGATTATGTAGACCTGGTGATATAGGATAATAATGTAGTACTGTACATCACAAGTGTCACTGTGGTTATGGCACTATACACCATTATGTGTTGTGGGCTAAAAATAGAACATACAGTGAAGCCGAGAGTACATACACTACAATGAAGGTGCATGATGTGGCAACAGCAAAATGAGTTGTACGACGTGAGGAGCTATCAGCTGGGAGCCATTCCCAGGGTGACGGACGAAGGCCACGCCCAAGAAGCCCCTGTATTGAATTGCCAGTACTCAGCGAATAACATACAGTATTCATGTTCCACATATGTTTTTGACCATTCTGAGTTGATTTCAGCAGAAAAAAAAATTGGGGGGGGGGGGGACCAGCAGCATTGGTGTGTCATTTAATATATTACAATGACATAAGAGTTAAAAGAAACACTACTAAATGTGCTATGGATTATCAAATAAACAGACATTTAATTTATACTGTATTTAGTTTTAATATTATAAAACTTCCTGTTCACAACCATTCAGTCCCCAACACACCTGATAAATGTCTCAATTGTAAGTATGAACTGTACTGTATTTAATCACTTTAACACTGTACAGAACCTTATGACATAAAAAATACAGTAGTATTTAATCCCAGTTATTAATACTACCATTTTATCATCCAGGTTTGTGTACTACTCAGTGCTGATATTCTACATGGTCTTCCTCACCTTTCTTACTGGCTACATCCTCACAGCAAGGTAAGTCCTCCTCCATGAAAATAAGAGATGCACATAAACTACCTTATTATATTCTTAAATTGCAAAACTGATTATTATACTTATGAGTTAGTCATGATGATATGTTTTGTCTCTCATTGTTTGTTATTACAGTACTCATACTGCCAAATACTGAACCACAAACTTTATATTGTGCATTGAATATTCAGGGTCTCACACACACACACACACACACACTCAGAGGCAATGATTATGATATGTAATTCTTTTATTATTTATAGGGACTGGGCATCAGTTGAGAAAAAGTTAAACAACTCCCTCATGGTGCAGTCAGCAAAGGAGCAACATTCTTGTGAGGTAATTTTCACTTACAATTAAACTGCAATCACCTTATTTTTTTGTCACAATTTATTTGGGGCTCTGGCTTTAACCTAATCTATGGAAGTAACACTTATCTGACTTATGATTGGGGTCCACGAACTTATCCCTGTCGTAAGTCATGGACTACCTATACTTTGTATTAAAACCACAGTTACCCAAACAAGGAATAACTCAGTTTTTAAGCAAATCTTTTGACAGCAAACTGAAGCTCAACACCATGAACACCATCACCACTTGAACACTACCACATGTAAAGAGTTTCTTCCAGCTTAGATATGCCAAACTCCTACACAACCCTTGCTCTAGCCACACCATTGTCAAGTTTCTCAATTATTCCTAACTTTTCTGCAACTGTTATGGACACTTGTTTCCTTTTCACTTTTTTTCTACATTTGGATCCATTTCAAATGCTTTATAGAGTGTTAATGTTACAAAAAGTTTGCAAAACACTTTCTCAGACCTCCACATTACTCCATGGATAAACACTAACTAATGCCACATGGTCATGCCTGGCTGAACCTAATCCAGATTAATCACACTTCAAACCACAGACATTTCATTGTAGTATTGCAGTATTGGGCCCATAAGGACATTAATATACAGTGATGTTTCCATTAACCGGAACAATTGGTGCAGAGCACTTCCGGGAATGAGAGATTTCTGGGTAACGAGATGACTCTCTCAAAGCTGAAAAAAATCCCTCATCCTTGGAAATTTACGGGTAACGGAAAAATGTTCTCAGAAGTTTCAGAAATTGCGCATTACATCATCTCTCAAACCCGCAAAAAACTTCCCCATCCCCCGAATTTTACAGAATTTTCCGGGTTTCGGGAAAATGTTCTGGAAAATGTGCCCTTCAAAAATCGTTCCAAAAGCCAGAATTTTCCCGAAAATTACGGTTTTCGGAACAATTTTCCGAGAACATTTCAATTCCGGCTATTGGAACCGGAACGGGTTTGAGGGATTCCAGCTAACGTAGATATTACAGTAAGTAGTTGTAGGTACAGTATAGCTCAGAATTAAGAACCATTCTATGACATAGCTAATGCCATAAGTTTATAATTGTTTTTGCTGATAAAACTGTTGAAAACTACACACACAAAAATCACAAACAGAAGTACTGTACAGTAGTTGTATTCCAGATGGCAAATAAATTATAGCAAGCCAAGAGGAATACTCTTGGCAAAGTTAGGAAAATGATAAGAAGAATAGAGGCATTATTAAACCACAGTAACACCCAAGTTGCATCAAAAACTCATGGTGCAGGAGTGAGGAATGTAGAATAAAAAAAATTACAACAATTATGAAGCAGATTAATGTCAATAATGTACTGTACTCACGTATGAATGGAAGAGCTTCAAGATGGTTCTAACCACAAGAATATCAGTCTTTTAAATGGAGTCCCCAGGAGTCAGTCAGATGAGGCTGAAAATAAAGACACACATGACGTGATGAGTGTTCAGAACATTTGTAGAGATGTTGCAAATACAAACAGATCCCAATTTATGAGGATTTCATTTATGAAAATTCAGTTATGAAAAAAGAATTGCCCCACACTTTTGTTTACACGCAAAAACCCCAGAAGTTAATATATTTTTTAATAATTTAGATATAATGAAAATACTACCAGAATGTATATTTATTTCACTAACTTACTTCATTATTCTCTAACTCACAATATAATTAATACTACAAATACAGTAAGCTTTCAGTGTGTTTCGTCACTCACTCCACCACAGGCACCACGCACAGTCACTGTGCCAGTTTCCCGATTTTTCAATTTCTCCTTATTTACAGTACTTTTGTATAATATGTGGCAAAGTAAAGATAATTATTCAGTTTTCTTAAATTTCATATGATAATTATATACATACAGTATACTGTAGGTGTAGAGATGTAAGAAAATGTGTGGAATATGGAAGTGGATTAGTGTTTTGGAGGTGTGGAAAATATTGGCGCTGCAGGAGAGTACAGACGAGTCAAATGCCTAGTTGGGTGCCTGGTGGGAGTGGCTGGGTGGGAGTCCTGGCTGGTGGAAGTAACATTTTGTGCCTCTGACATTTCATTGCTTCAACCATCCCTGTTTCTTTTTATTCAGGAACTTTGTTCGTAGACTGTCCCTTGTCTGATTTTGCAGAACTTTCACTTTTTTTTCCATGTACACTTAACACATTATGTTTCCTTTGAACACAGTTAAACTCAGTTGTATCACATTTGTGTTTGCTTGAGGGCTTTGTGAAAGCAAAATAAAATAATTAATGAACAAAGAATATAGAGCACACCCGGTAGGAACCAAGATTTCTTAAAGCATCACTCAAGCAATTGCGACTGTAGTATCCATGCCATGTAAACAAGGGATGATGCAATAACTCATCCGGGGTTGAGCGTGGGATTTTTTTTTTCGAGAACTTATCTCCAATTATGTAATTGGAGTCATTGGGAAAATGTACACCAATTTTTGAAAAAAGAATTACAAGGGATTTCTCAGTAACGTAACCCTCTTGTAAATCGGGGTCTGCCTTTATAACAGTCACCCCGGTTAAAGTAGAATATTCCCTCAGAGTTACAGTAGAGGTAATAAAACTAAATATCTTATTGCTGTGCAGGAAAAGCTTCCCCCAAAATGAGAACTGTTCTCTTCAAAACACTTTCAGACCAGATCACGCAACAAGAAAAAGCTGCACCAGAAACCCCTGCCAATTTAAAGCAGGAAAGAAAAACCAAGCAATAATGGAGATGGAGTCTAGGGTGTAATACACTCCCATTGATTCAGTTCCCTCACTCAGCTGTATATTTTAAATGCTGTACTGTAGAAGTGTCCACAGCTTTCTCTTTCCTATAATTATGCCCTTCATATACAGTAATTGCAACCCAATGACCTAGTGAAATGATTGGTTCATAAATTGTTATTCAGTGTTCACTTCATCTGTAAAATCTGAATGCTTTTCAATCCTTGTCTCATCAGCCATTTGCACAGTATTGCCCAGTACCCTGTTACCGTCAGCTGTCTCCATTACATTCTACTTTACAAAAACACTTCCATTTGATCTAATAATATTTTCCCACTTCTTTTCACAGGCTTTAAAAGATGAAGTGGACCTTACAGATAGTGTCTTTGTGGTAGCAGGAAAATGGGTGATTATCGTGATGGCGGTTATCAACATTATGCGGGAGATGTTTCAGTTCTACCAGGTATGATACTATGGTTTCTACTAGGAATAAAAATGATACTGTACCAGGATAGGTTATATAACTTACAGGTGAGGACTGAAGTCACACTGACATACTAAACACAAGATTCAGGTAAGAACAACAGATAATAATGTACCAGATATGAAATGAAAACAAGGAGTCAATACACATGTTAAGTATGGTTCATAGGCACTCTTTGTGGATGAGGAGCAGAAGTAATTACACCATATGGAGGTTCTCTGAGTGCTGGAATATGAGAGAAGCTAATTTTGCTATTTTGGCAGACATGATTACTTGTAGTCCTACACAGGCGTACAACAAGTTTTTGCAGAGTACTTACTATAGGGGGAAATTGGGGGCTGTTTAGAAGATAATGAGGATCAACAACTGTACATGTAAGCAAATTTTCTAAATAAAACATGTTGAACAATATCTTGATGTAGTGATGTTGTCAGTACTGTACTGTCATTCAGTTATGCTCCTTTTGTTTTGAACTGCAGATATGATAAACTATTTTTTTTTTTTACAACATTTTCATTAAACAATAACATCAATTAATTAATAGGCTTATAATAATAAATGCACAAAAAAATTGTTTCATACATAATTATCTTTACAGTACAGTACAGAACTGTACTGTTCGGTATACTAAGAACAATTGTAATATTTTTACTGCCAGAATAAAAGAATTCAAATGCTTGCAAAAGATCCAATAATGTACCAAACCATAAATTCTTTTATGTGCTTATTTTAAGTGCCAGTGGCTGTCATCTATGAAAACTTGAGAAAAATTCATATGTACTAGATTGTCAGATGTGGCTCCCTGAAAACGTGAAAAAATTTGCCAAAATCCAAAAATGATTAAAGCCTTTTTTCTCATACGAAAACTGCTGACAAACTTGATTATGGTGTGTATAAGTCTCATGATTTGGATAACTACATTTCTTGGTGTAGTCTTTAGTTATGAAAATGGTATTGATTGTAATACTTTATACTATATAGTACAGTAGAACGTCGATTTAAAGGGATTCAATTTAAGAATATTGATTTAAAGCGACACCCACAATTAAGGACAATGTTTTAATTTAAAGCGAATCTTTCCTATTTTGCGCGAGTCAATCTGGCACATCATATTTAAAATTTTGCGCCTAATGTTTCTTAATGCATCTCTGGGCACGCTACACTGTCTTAAGGGCAAAGCTGTACTGTACATATACAGTACTCAAAATAATGTACTAAATGATTACTAAAATTTTTGTGTAGTGCAAACTATAGCATGTTTATATTAAAATTAATCAATATCTTATAAGAATTCCAGCAATGGAAATTGTATTCTCCCCGGTCACTTCTGTGACATTTTATAAGCAAAAAAACATAAATTCAAGCTAAAGGACAAAAATAAACAAATAAATAATTCACTCGACCTTCGGCGCCAACTGTCAAACATGTCACTGTCACTCCCCCCCCCCCGTCTTCCCAGCCAGGGTTTGCTGTTTTAGGCTTAAAATTTTTATCTTATAGTATAATGTCACATACTAAAGTTAGGAGAATATAAGTTGTATTGCTGGGATCCTTGGAAGACAGCTAATAATTTGAATATAAACGTCATATATTTTGCACAAGAAGTAAAAAGTTTTGCTCTTTGTAGTAAAATTCTTAAATTAGAACTAAAATTTGTATGTCTAATGCGAGCTATAGCATGTTTATATTAAAATTAATCACTCTTATAAGAATTCCAGCAATGTTAATTATATTCCCCCCATTAGTTCAGTGACATTTTATAAGAAAAAAAACTTAAAGTCACTCCCCTTAAGCCCTGGGCTAGGGTGCTGCTGGCAGTAACCCGTTAAATCGAAAAAAATCAACTTTAAAAAAAAAATGACGGAAAAATAGGTGGACGTTTTGGAACGCCACCCGGTGCCTAAGGGTTAATTAAGGACAGATAAATAAATAAGCACTAGAACTTGGCATCAACTGTCAAACATATCACCCCCCCCCCCATCCAGTAAACAGACCATTTTGAATCCCTTACTTTTAGCTGTGTTGATTTATGAGTGTTTCTTTTAAGATAATGCTACAAAAAACAATGTTTTGTTTATTCTAGGAGATGGACTGAGGTGCATCTGGGTAGACTGTCAGTCTTTTTAGTATTTTGTGTTTCTCTCAAGTACCAAACTAAATTATTCCACTGAAACAACACTTTGATTTAGTGCGAATTCAGTTTAAAGTGACCTCTCTTGGAACGTATCTCCCTTTATATCAACGCTCTACTGTACACAGATGTACAAGAAATAAAATAATATTTAGTACACAGTTGTTGGTGCTAAAAGAATTATTCTTGTACAGTATATCCTGCTAGTAGGAGCATAATATAACAGCAGGTAGATAAGATATATTGTACATTTAGATAAAAAAACTAAACCTGGCTAACTACATTTATCATTCCAGGGATGTTGTAATAGTCTTATGGTAAAGTACCTTTCTTTGAGTTACTTCAATCACGCTCTCTCACCTCAGCTTCCATGCTACTACAGTACCAGGGTTCTTCATGATCAATTGTAGTGTAGTAAGCTAATGCATCATAAATTTTGACTGCCAAGTTTAATTAATTTCATACCAAGTTATATTTTGAGGTTTCCAAATTTAATAAGTCTGGCCACACAGCTTGTAATCTTAGCATATCTAGAACTTTTGTGTTTTGCTTGAAGGACCTGGCCTCATCCTCCTGAACCAAGCCACTGGGCCTCATAAGTAGCTGCTCTATCATTCTTGTAACATTTAATTTTGAATCATGAAGAACCTTGGATGTGACTAAGTGTTTCACTTCAAGAAGTTGACTCATGACTTGTACTCAAATTCTGGCCAACCAGTGTCTAACAGAGGTTTATTTCTGGGTTTTTTATTTAATGCAGAATCTAAATAAATGCACTTGTGCTGACAGAATTAATTTAACTTCTTTAAATATAAGTGTAATTCAATATAGAGATATGTTGTGACAATGGTTGGCCTATTGGTTAAGTTACTTGAGGGAATGTCATGAATAGTCACAAATTGATAGTTCAATCAGAATGCAAGCTCTTGATCATGATTGTTGGTTGATGGCTTGCCAATAAGCCACACTCTATTCTGGTATACATAGCTTGCTCAAAGCTTTATGTCTCACCTGTATGAATATGTGTCAATATCACCAGTATACATGTATTGTATTTACTGTAATATATATGTTAGTTATAACAATTGGTATCACATGCACACAATGTTGTAAAATTTTGCAACCCATTCAAAGTTATCAGTGAAAATTGTTTCGTGTTTCATCATCAATGCTCTGTTTTATCCTAACCATTTTCACATAGAGCATAAGACTATTTAAATTATATTCTTTAATCTCTAAATACAGTATAATCAGTTATATCAACTAACTATTGGAGTGTTTTGATGTCATTATCTCACTTAAACATTTTTTAAACAGGTACTTGCACAAAATGTCAGTCACATAGTTATCTAAATGTAAGTCACAGCACCAAATCTGTGTATAATATGGAATTTAATTGTCTTTTAAAAATTTATATTCATTGAGGGATACTCAATGAGCTGTCAGGTAGTTATTGGTCCATAATACAGTACTGTACTAAGATTAAGGTAAAAACAGTATAATTGGTTGTGAATGGTTCCTTTATCAGTACAGTACAGTATATACGGAATCATAGCTATTAATGCAGAAAATGTATGAAAATTAATAATTTAATGGTGATAAGAGCAAGAAAATAAATAATAATGTTGCTTGGATCTGGGTCAGTGTGAGCAGTGAGTTTATGGCCAGCTTTAGCCACTATCCTGAGCAGTCTGTGTTATGCACAGTAAAGTGGTGATGCCCCTGCAAATTTTCATCATAAGTTTGCATTTTTTACATTCATAAAATTTTTCTGATCGTAATTTAAAGCCTACTCTGTCAGGCCAATCTTGAAAGAGACATAAATATGTGGAACTGTGGAAAAACTGTGACAATATAGTAACACTGTTTTTTATCATAATGGTTGGCTATTTATATTTTAAAAACTATGATGCAAGCTTTCTAAAATGTAAATTTCACTCACTCATCATTGTCACACATATGACTCAAATCATTATCATCTTCAGCAAAGATAAATAAAAACACTCATTACTCTCTATAGATTATAATCATTTACAGGTACTGTACTGTATACTGTACTGTACTGTACTGTACTGTATACTGTACTGTACTGTACTGTATACTGTACTGTACAAGTACTGTACAGTGTTTGTTGTAGTCATTGTTCTAAACATTTACCATCCCCCCCCTTCAATGTTCAAGCATACCAGGAACCTACAGTAGGCTCTCACCAATAACGTCTAATAGGTGCCTGAAAAACACCGTTATTAGCGAAAACATTATTTGTGTGATATTAAAATACATGTAAAAAAAGGTTTATTGGTGCCGCCGCCCCAAGAATTTCACCCATTTTTTCCCTTAGAAGCCCTCCTAACACTTTTTGTTAGCCGAAATAAAAAGAATTGTTATTCAATCATCAAAATAAAGAGTTTGAGTAATATATCACTTAGCTTGGGGGAGTTTTTGAGGTGCTTGGTGTGATGATTGTTCCGTATCTTCTGAGGGCCGCTAACACTTGCACTCTTTCATTCTACAAGCTACCCATTTCACAAGAAAATGCTCTGTTATCACTAACCACCTGTTTCTATCGCCTTTATCATTCATGGCTCTCCTCGCATTTCCATCACTACCGAAATATTTTTAGCCAGCGCAATACTATTCTTGGTCTCCTCAAAGTTCCTCTTAATATTTTGCACTGTAGACTCAGGACAGTTCATTTTCCTCACAATATCAATGTTCCGTGCACCACTTTCATTGAGCTCAACAATCTGTTCTTTATCCTTGACCGAGGAGGCACGCTTCTTGTGGCTTTGTCTCTTAGCTTTGGGGTCTTTTTTCTCATTCACCTTAAAAGTTCCCGGGCATTCAGGTGGCAAATCACTCCCTCCACCACCTACCCTAGCCCCCACAGGCAAAAATGCGGAAGCTATTGTTGATCACCGACCCTAGCAACCACTGGTTATAGAAGCGAAAATCTCACACGTGGGCGCAGCGCTGTATTCCTCGGAGCGTGTGTGAGAGTGAGGAGGAGCGGACAACTACGTCATCAACATGGCGGCAAACAAACGCTATCATTGATGCGCTCAGACGCTTCCCGCGAAATCTCCGTTATTTAAGAGAATCCAGACGTTATTATCGAAAATGGGTATCTATTGTAACTTACCGTTATTGTCGAAAACGTTATTGTGGAAGTCATTATTGGCGAGAGCCTACTGTAACTCCATAATACCCATTGAACTGAGGTTTCCACATTCACGGTTTCTGCATTTGCAGGGTTTCCAAGAACCTAACCCGCATGAATATCGAGCGTTTTTCTGTGCAGCATATGAAAACTGTCAACAAATATAAAAAGTAAATTGGATAAATAGTACAGACACAGTACTCTAGTTTCATTCTTTCGTTTTGGCAATAAAATTCAAATTTTAATGATGAAACATGCTAACCCACAACAACCCAACATCATCCAACACAGTATAACCAACATTCAAAGCAGTGGAGCATGTGGAATAATCCATCAACATTCTGATCACTGACTCCACATTCTCTCGCAGAGAAACAAGACTGTGTACTGAGGACTAACTGTACTCAAAGGAGAAAGTACTTGTAGAAAAGTAGGAGAAAAAAAATGGTGGTTGGGGGGGGGCGAAAGGTACAGTAATTGTACAACCTTCAAGAAAAAGTGAAAAAAGTCCCTTAGATAGTCCATAATATATGAGCAGAGACCTTGACCTTTCATTTCAAAATCAGTAGTCTTCTGTGAATCCCTGATACAGTTATGCCTCCCAAATAAAGTTTAGTGAATGTATATGATGTGTAGAACAAGTTATCATACAGAAACCAAACTGTCAACAGTTAGAGAGACAAACAGCCTTATACCATTATGTGTTCCACAAAGTAAGAATATTAAAGTGCAAATATTTTTTAATAATCTGAAATTTCAGTCTGAATCAGAGTTAATTTTTTTTTTTTATCATTTTTGTCGCTTATCAGCCTACTAGCCATTTGAGCGGTGTATCCAGTGCTAGTGCAGGAGGAAACCGGGGTAAGGTCACACTGGATAACACCTTTCTCAGGTGTGTCTGGGCCAAAGCTCGAACCCTAACATATTGGTGAGAGTTACGCGCATTACTGATGTACCAGATGAAAGTGGCTTTTGTGTTTTTTTTTTTTTTTAGCTTTTATCTTTTTGACTGGGACCATAAAAAAGACCATCACTTTGAAAAAGAAGGAATTGTACAGTATGTTATTTTGAACAATTTCTAGTTCCTTTTGTTAATAGAGTACAGTATTTATATATTATATTTTTACTGTCACTGTTTTATTAGATCAGAGACAATGAAATTGCAGTATTGGATACTAAAGTTGACTGCTTGACATAAGAGACAAAGAATATACTTATTACAAGAAACTTATTCCTTTGATTTTCATTCAGTGAACACTTCCCCCCTAAGAAAACTCATCAAACTCTGGCATTGTATTTTTTGGTTAATCATGTATCACCTTTATCATCAATAACACTTTATGTCCATAGTTTAATATCTACAAAAATGTGAGCATTCTTAATAACCCTTATGCCCTGAGCAACATAAAACCCACTAGAACCCCGTGATGGCATATTTCAGCAAAAAATTTAAATAAATAAATAAATAAATAAAATACTGTAAAATAAAATCCATAGTCGAAAACTGGTATTTCAGGCATAAAATTAGTGAAGTCACTGTCGAGTCTGGCATGCACGTGGTCCCCTATGTCCACGGCACCCACAACCACAACCTCACTGAGGGGGTGGAGAAGGGGAGTGAGCGCCATTGTCTGTCAACATCATCTGGGTTTGTTTCCTCCCCATCACTGTCTTCTTCACCCGATACTATATTAGTGTCACTCAAACCAATCAAGGGTGTGGAGGGGTGAGGCAGGTCACGAGTCGTCGACAGACATACATCCATCATGATAATTGGTGGGTACCTGGACCACTAGACTTGAGACAAAGATTACATGCGAGTTGAGTTGCCAAGTATATAAATATCCAATACAAAGTACAGGTACTTCATCCCACCTGGACATTGAAAATACGTATGCCACAAAAATTAGGGACATAGAGAAACGTCTCCCGGGGTCGCTATGGTGGACGTAGAGAAACATCGCCCAGACTTTAAGTTTTAAATATGTTACAGGGTATCATGATAATTATCCACTACAGTATTTTGACATGTTAAGTCTTACCATATACCCGTACTACTGTACAGTATAACCATTTTGTTACAGTTTTACATTCATACTGCTGTACTGTACTTCAGTCAGCAGTTTCCAACACTTTATGAGTTAAACTTTTTCATAGTTTCTCTAAGATATTTGTTTAACCTCCATCTCAGCCTTACAGTATTTGTAAATGTAAATTCATAGAAATTCTCATTTTTGTATAGGCACGTCTCAACTACATTGGCTTGGAAAACCTTATGGAGTGGTGCTGCTACATTACCGCTGTGGTGCTGGTGTGGGACTTTAATGACTGTTCCATTAGACAGGTAAGCTATCTAAATAAGCAAATGTTATTTAGATGATATACAAGTGCAGGTACAGTACAGTACTAAAAACAAACTTATGGGAAGTCCATTACAAGACTAATAATGGAGAATGTATAAATGTAATACAGTATGTACTGATGCACACTTGTTAAATTAAGTTAGTAGAAAATTGTCTCACCATATATTGGGAAGAATTATGAAAAAAGAATTACTAAATTATGGCGTGATTTTGTGAGTCCAGAGAAGATTTATACAGTTGGTCCTCATATTACGCGGTTAATGTAACCCGGAGGGTACCGCGGAAAGTGAGAAACGCGTAAAGTGAATAACATAACATATGGGATTAATTGAAATGGAGTCCGGGCCGATCCCCAAACTCCACTTTTTTACGACACACAACTATGTTGTAGTAAAAATATTATCTTAACTTTATGATGGCATGCACACACAATTAATAATTAAGAGAAATATCAATAATATTAGGTTTTTTAACACTTACATTAGTAGAAAAGATGGCTGGGCACACGGGGATGGGCGGTTGGTTCCGAGGCAGAGGGCAGATTATTGGCCCTCACCTGTATCACTTGTATCAATTGTATCACTATCCACCACAGAGGCTTGCAGGGCCTCTTTGTCAAACCCCCCAAAGTTCATATAAGTCCATATCCTCACTATAATTATCACTATCACTGACTTGGGCCGGCTGTAGTGGGTGGCGGGTGAAGAACTGGTCATGTTTTGATGACTGGGCGACCTTGTGCGCACCATTTTCGCGCCTCTTACACAACATGGCGGATGGCGGGAGGTTTGGATCCAAAAATGGCGCGGCTTGCCAGCCGCTCTCCGCGTAATGGGGTTCACGACCACGGAATGTGAAAATGTTAGGTTCTGGCAAGGCACCGCGTTAACGGTGAAACGCGGAATGCGGGACCGAGTAATATGAGGACCAACTGTATATTAGTGACAACTTCTCTTGCTTCAGTTACAAAATAAAAAAATTGAAAACTGTGGTTACATTTGCACAGCTCAAAGAAAAGGAAAAGAATGTTGAGAACGATTTCTAGAAAGGCTGAAGGACTAATTGAAGGAAAAGATTTAGTTCAAATCATCATAACTGGTGGTACAGTCTTAGAAAGGAGTGCGGCGGTCAGTGGATGCAGCGCTTGCCTCCTGTTCCATGGGTTATTGTTTCAATCCCTGGGCACTCCCAGTTCACCCAACTGATTACAACTTGGGGAAGTAAATGCAGTCCAGTGCAGTACCGGCCATGCTGCCTCCTTGTGTTGTATCCACACTGTCCCTAACAGGTAGTCATGCCTATGGGACCCACTTTCACTATTTGTTTTCCAATCGTAGAGGAAAATAATGATTGTTTAAAAACTTTTTAAATTGTGCTGATATTTTATCAAATAAAAAGTAGTATGTTTTTAATGTTTTTTCTTTTTTCTCTCAAACAGAATTGGCAGTGGCAAGTTGGAGCAGCATCAATCTTTCTAGGATGGATGAATCTACTGCTCTTTATTCGCAAGTTTCCTTTTCTGGGAATCTTCGTTGTCATGTTTACCGATATCTTTGCCACCTTCCTCAAATTCTTCACTGTCTTTTTACTTTTCATTGTCGCTTTTGCTCTCGCCTTCTACACGGTAAGCTTAAATTTGAGTTTTGTTTGAATTAGAATACAGTATATTAATTTGTTTCTATAACTGACCATTATCAATAAAGCTTTTACTATATTGAGAACAAATATTAATTTACTGCTGAATGAATAACATTAATTTTTTGTTCTTTATATTTTCATATACTGTAGGTGTTAAGAAATCAAGAACCCTTCAGTACACCAGGCCATGCACTCCTCAAGACAACAGTGATGATGATTGGAGAGTTTGAGTACGATACCATTTTCAACGAAGAAAACCTCATAGTAAGATGCCTTTAAAACCATGTAAATAAAATAGGATTAGTAAAAGATATAGATTGGTACCGTATCACAATATTAATAAAAGTTCATAGGGCAGTAAAAATTTAATTTATATCTCATCTTGTCACTTTTCACATGAATAAACTACATTAAAACTTGTCTGTTTCACATGATTTCACTCAGGTGTCATATATGAACATGCTGTCTCACTGACTTGTCTTAAAGCTTAATAGCCACCAATGTAAATTCAGTACACTGCCTTTAATTGGTCAGTGATTTTTCATACCTTTTCAAAGGTGGCCAGATGGTCCCTTTGAGAATAAAACAATCTGATTTTGGTAAGTACCCGGTAGTTTTCATTATACATTATTACTCTTTTAATTTATCAAGTACCAAACTTTTTATTTCCTTTTTTCAGTATCCAGAAGTCACATACACACTGTTTGTTGTCTTCCTGATCCTGATGTCCATTCTGATCATGAACTTGCTGGTGGGTCTGGCAGTAGATGACATCAAAGCTGTACAAGATCAGGCTATTCTCAAGAGGCTTGCCATGCAAACCCAGGTTGGACATAATATACAGTACTGTTAACTGCTTCTGCAAGTAACAGTGATCATGCAGTACTAGTCTGGTGTGGGGTTTTGGTTAATACGTATGTTGTAATTTTAAAGCAGTATCATTCTATAAAGTGGATATAAATTAAATTATTATTTATTTGTACTGTACTGCATTATCATTTAATATATACAGTATTAAGAAAAACAAGATAACTTTGAGACATGAACATTCAAGATAACCTCAGTACTGACTGGAAGATGGTAACCCTTGTATAATTTCTCTAAATTTATTGAGCTAATCATAATGAATACTATTTACCAATAATTGAAGAACAGTATTTTAGGTTTTAATATTTTTTTTATTATGTATGAGTTATTTTAGTATAATTTTCATAATAAATTTGCAGATGGTGTTAGATGTAGAAGTTCTAATCCCAGAAACACTTAGAAGGATCCAGGTTGTTGCCAAGAAAGAGGTTCATCCTAATGCTCGTCATGGGCTATTCTCCAGACTATTTGGGGACTTCCAGCTCATAAAAACCTTTGATTTTGTTTTGGATGATGAACAGGTAAGTGACACTGTATAATGATACCTCCCTATATTTCCTAGTCATAATGAATTATTGTGTATGGAGAATTGTTTAATTTGGGCACCACTTTGATAATTTGTATAAAAAATGTGTTACACAAGAATGGAGGAAACTGCAGCGGGCCTATTACCCCATACTAGGCAACCCCGTCTACACCCAGCCCCTATTGCTCATATATCTGTCCAACCTATGTTTGAAGCTACCCAGCGTATTTGAGTTAATGATGAAGTTTGGTAACTTGCTCCACTCATCCACTAGTCTCTTTCCAAACCAATGTTTACCTATCTCGTACCTAAATCTAAATTTGTCTAATTTAAAACCATTGCTATGAGTTTGCTCCTGGTTGGATAGTTTGAATACCTTTGTTATATCACCTTTATTTAACCCTGGTTTCCATTTATAAACCTAAATCATATCGCCCCTCACTCTACGTCTCTCGAGGGAGCACAAATTAAGATGCTTTAACCTGTCTCTGTACTCAAGGTTCCTAATGCCCGGGATTAGTCTGGTCATCCTCCTCTGAATGCTTTCTAGGGATTCTACTGTATATCTATTCTGTAGTATGGTGACCAGAACTGATCTGTGTAATCCAAGTGAGGTCTCAGTATATGTGTGTTAGTGAGCATTTGACCACAACATTACAGATGTTTTTCAATTTAATATGGTTACCAGGTAGTTATCTTTCTTATAGTACTGTAATATAGTCTGTATTTTCAAAAGTGACCCTTGCCTTAACTACCCATAAGTATACAGTACTGTACTCCAGTATGTAAAGATGTAAAAATTCCTTGTTGACATTATGCATCTTTTATTCAATGTTCTTTTTATAACGATTATTTTTTATGGTCTGATGTAAACTTTAGTTATGTTATTGGGTTGTACTGTTGATAAAATAATATGAATCCAGTCATAGAATTGATGATTGCTAAACACAGTATGAGGATACTAGAAGTTACCTAGCTATATGGTACAGTATAGTGAAATTAAATATATGGTGATGAAAAATTCAAAATACAGTACATTGAAGGCATGGAGAATAGATCCTGAATTCCATTTTATGACTGAGCCTGTAGCTATCTGACTCAAATACCGTAATGCACTCACCCAGCCTGGCAGCTTGTAGACCCAGGAGACCTTAAGCATTAGTGGCCAGTTATTATCCATTTATCATGGTGATAGACATATTTGATATATAAAACCTACTATAGAGGAGAGCTCAGTGAATTATTTATATTTCTCCAGTTCAAGGTACACAGGTTAGATATTACTTTACATTGACAATCAGTAAATGAGTCAGGGAAAAACTCAGAGTGGCAGATAAAATATTTATACCAGACAAGGGTTACAGCAAAGACCTGGCACATTCATCATGACAAAAACAGTTGTCACTGAAATTGTCTGGTATACTGTACCCTGTACATGCAAATATTTGATCTACCATTGTGGGTTTTTTCTCTTACGTTGTTGTTCAGGTTATGGTGACTCCAGCATTGGCCTATAGTTTAAGAAGTAATGCGAGAGCAGTGATTACAGGTCATATACAGTGAAAATATTTTGTTCAGTAGAGTGAAATACGGGAATAGATAAGGTTAGTACTGTACTGTACATCTTGAAAGAGGAAACAATCACAACATAGGGTGAATACATTAGCTACAGTATACTGTATATCCAAGGTAGTTTGTTTTGGTTTAGAATACAGCTACTCCTCGACTTACGACCACCCGGACATACAACCGCCCCAGTCGTACCAATTTTTTTTTAAATTACGTATTTTCGAGTCCCGACGTTAGTGATTGCGCTGTGTACTGACAAAATTTTTGTTTGTAATTCCCTTTAAAATGGCTGGCAAGCATAAAAGTGAGAGTTTTGTGGTGCTGAGAAGGAAAAGAGACACCCATTTTACATTTTCTATGTATATTATCTTCGCATTTTCGACTTACGACCAATTCGACTTACAATCTGGATTTGGGTCGTAAGTCGAGGAGTGGCTGTATCTATAGTTCTATGCAAAAAATAACACTGTAATGAGCTAGTTTAGGAATCAACAAACGTCAACAAGTGTTACAGGTGTTATTTATTGAGAACCATGGAGCTGCTGATCTGACTCTATAAAGGCATAGTACAGTACTGCATGTAGTACAAGTATATATTATTGCTTTCTGCAGTATGTACACAGGAATGAATAATGACTTTTAATTTTTAAATGAAAAAAGCTGCAAACTGGGATAAAGGAATACTTGCACAGTAGTGTGGTAAGTTAATTGGTAATTGGTCCTTTGCTGGTATGTTAATGACCATGCATTACAGCTTGAAGTGGGTTGTTGTTTTTTTTGGATTTTGGTATCTCAGATTCTTTGTTCTATGAATAAAAGTTACAGTATTAGCCAGTTTGTGTGGTTTGAAAGAATTTTAAGCAAAAAACTATTTTGTTAGTTGTGGTTTTGCTTAATTATTATGGCTTCCCATGAAGGGCTAAGAGTGACATTTGTGCTGCTTATTTGTGTTATGATAAATATACTGTATGTATGTTTTACAGAATGTTACTATCAGCATGATATATTTAATGCTTGAAGCCTGCAGAATGCTGTTCATCTTGGAGTTTTACCTTTTATGTACTAATGATTTTAAATTTTTGTGTGAATATTAATATCTGTATTGTACTGTACTGTACTGCTCGTTGGAATAGCAAGCAACTTAAAAACATGTACGGACATGTGTTTTGCCGTTTCATTGATATTGTAGTTTTGCTAATATACCCTGAAGATTTTAGCCTTTTATTTCAGGTCTTTGAAGCAGGAAATTCATCAGTGCAATAAAAAGTGTCACAAGAAGGGAAAAATTATATATATATATATATATATATATATATATATATATATATATATATATATATATATATATATATATATATATATATATATATATATATATATATATATATATATATATATATATATATATATATATATATATATATATATATATATATATATATATATATATATATATATATATATATATATATATATATATATATATATATATATATATATATATATATATATATATATATATATATATATATATATATATATATATATATATATTCCCTTCTAAGTTTCATGATAATAATTAACATGGCTTCCAGTACTGAAATGCTATGCTATGATATAATTAAGAGAACATAAATTATGAGGAGCTTGTGAAAAATATTGCAATATACTGTATATGAAGAACTTTGTACTGTATTTGGTTTCCACATTCTTCTACAGTACATGCTGTACTACCTTTTAATCCACAAGAGTTAACATGATGTTTGTGTTTGTGTGTGGTTTTTTTTTTGCACACTGAGGGCTTGATCGGCGAAACACTCTACCGTATTTATCGTGTTAAAAGCAGCATATTTCTAGCAAGTTGTGTATGGCTTAACCCTGAAGCACACTGATCTTTAATAATTCACACAGATGAATGAACAGGAGGCAATGCGGCGTGACATGACACACTTAATAACAACAGTTGAAGATCTTCAGTCACAGAACCAGCGTCTCCGGGCTCTCCTAATTGCCCTCATCAATATCAGTAATAATGGAAGTAAAGGGAATTCAGATCCTGATGTATCTAAATATGTGTGAAAGTTACTTAAAACTATGTATTTATGAATCACTGGGTTTGAGACGCATGAGCATGTTGAAGAGAAGGTAAAATTGTTCTGCATATGTGGTACTGTTCTGTACTGAGAGGGTACCAATACTACCAGAGGATCTTAAAACTATGTATTCACATTAATTACTCTTCAGTAAATGCATCTATAAGTAAGTTCTGCACAAGGTGACAGTGGTAAACAGTTTGATATAGATTGTCTGTCTTTGCAATCCTTAAATACTTTTTCACGTCTGTCTGTTAGTTACAGTACTGATTTCTTAATGCCCCTTAAGTTTTCCATTTATTTCCTTTATTACCTTTCACAATTTCAAGGCTTGGCCAACACTTAACTGAAAGTGCAATTTTTGCCCAGGATTTGCCCTACAGTATAGTACTCTACTGGCATTCAATTCAGGGGAAATGCATGGCAGCAAAATACTCAAAGAGGGAAAAGATGGGGAGAACCTCTGTTAAACACATGTAATGCTCTGTATATTGCCAACACAAGCAATATGCCACATAACCTGAAACTCCACAAACTGGTAAAATAATATGAACCTAAAGTTAATTTAAATAAAATCAAAGTTTAGGAACTGAACGAGTGTAAGGGTCACACTTTACATACTCTTACAGATATGCAGTAAACAAGACTAGCATGCTAACTGGTGAACAAAAGTGTTACGAAATCCACACCAAATTATTTACCTCTTCACTTTCTCTTTCTTTTTTAAAGAGATAAAATAATTTTTTATTGTGTTCAATCAGCTTGATATAAATTTGAATTGAAATAAGAGACTGAATTGTACATCAGACATGAAGTTCATACCAACCTAATGGAAAAGAACTTATAAAATATAATGTGTACAAATACTGTACAGGTACAGTGCATATCTGCATTGATTCATCAGGAATCTGTTGTGGTAAGTACTTGGTTACTCAATCAACTTAATATGAATAACTTGAATTGGAATATTTTAGATATCAGTGTAACTAAAACCATCTTTCTTGTAGTGGGCCAATGATAGTTTGTTGGTGTTCTGTTGTTATCACACATACAGCACTTATTGTAATAATTTTTTATGAAGGCATTAGGCCTATGTCATAGAGTATTGATCTGTCCAGTTGTCTCTTAATGGTGGAGACCTGACCACCCAGTACCTCCTCAGGTAAACTATTCCATGCATCCACAAGACTTTACAGAATCCTGTCTAAACCTTATCTTCAGGTACCTTAATACCTCTCCACTCACAAAAATACATTGTTAATATTACAGCTTGTTGTTAATAACAGATTGTTCTTGGAAACCTTTTTTAGAAAATACAGTAATCTTTCTTTTTATGTAGCTAGAATGGTACAATACAGAAACTACAGTACGTACTGTATAAAATTGCATCAATTAATTCCAACTTTTTAAAACATAAAAATTATGATATGTTAAAAACATATGCATTTGTCTTTAAAATCTCTACAGTAAATACTATACAGTACTTTAATGTGTCTGCAGCTAGAATTATACCATACAGTGCTGTAAAAGGAAGTCCTATAGTGTTTCTGAAAATATGGTTCATATTACTTCAAATTTCTCTTTATAAAGCAATCCAAAAACCATGTTAAAACACAGGCAACAAATACAACCGCAAAGTAGTTCTAGCCAGCAAATTTTTTTTTCATCCAAACACGTGTGTATGTTAATAGAAATTTATATTCAGATTTGTAATCAGACTACAATATAGCAGTTAAGGTGAGAAATATCCTTTTCAGTGTATCTGTGCTGAGTTCTACATGGTTTTAGAAGAGGATTCAGTGTGTCAAGCAAGACATATATTATAAGGAATACTGTTTTTCAGTAATGTACTACGTACATTATAGATAATGAATATTTTATCTCGGTGTGAATCAAATGATCTAAGTATACAGTATAAATGTTATATAGGGGTAAATCTAATTATCATAGATATTCATTGTATGTGTGGTACTGTACTGTATTTTTGCATGCATAATGCAGTACAGGTATTTCTAATATTATCACTGGATGCACTTTTTGATGTCTCTTGTACAATAAAAAATTTCAAAATAATGCTTAAACAGACATATGTGCTCGAATTATAGTACAGGTTACTGAATAATTAAGTGCTATGCCAGACATCAGTGTGTAGTTTCAGGATAATAATTTGAAAAGAGTTACCAGTTGTTTGAGAGGAATTTGACTGCAGCAAAGATACAAGTTTGAAATGTTGAAAATTAGTTAGGTGTGAAGTGGGAGTACAGTATTGTATAATGAGGTGGAAGATGACAGTGAAGTATGCACATGAGTGGTTAAGGGGCCCAGTGACCAGTTTCCTGCTTCATCTGATGTGTACAGGAGGAACAGCTGTACACAAAGAAGAGCTCATAAAAAGTTGTAACATTTTAAGTAACAACAGAGATCTGACTTTGAGTTCTGACATGTAAGTCAAAAGCATGATACTATTTTGCATTTTAAGATTTAAACTGACAAGTCAAAATAATTGGAACATAAGAGTGACAAACTTCCTATTTCTTATCCACAAAACATATTGCAGCTACTCTATATTTTCTTCTGTACAGTACACTACTCTGTAGATGTAAAATGGGCAAGATTAATAAGTTATAAAACTTATTGTTCTGCTTTTATGGACTCTCCACTGCCTTTTTCAATATGATATTCTATATTAAAATCACTGACATGTTGACTGTCTCTGAATGGTTGGTGCCAAAAGTGAAACTGTCTGATTTATATATATATATATATATATATATATATATATATATATATATATATATATATATATATATATATATATATATATATATATATATATATATATATATATATATATATATATATATATATGCAAGTAAATCACTGTATTATAACATACATATATTTTCATATATTGTTTTATTTACTAACTTATAATGTTAAGGTGAATTTCCATGTTAGTTTTATCATGAATTCAATGAAACCCGAAAATATTACAAATAAATATTATGTGAAATACTTGAGTTTGTATATTTATGCCCTGAGTATTATTATAGACAAGTCACAAACCTCAATACAGCATTTTTTAGTACAACTTATCTAACTTACGTTAGAGACAAATTAATGGGTTTAAAACTTTCTAATTAAGAGAAGGCCATGTTAAAGAATAAACTGAAATGGACTTAAATTAACAGTTACAGGAATTTTGTAGCTCAACCCTGAACATAACGAGGTACCATAGTGTGAACCCCCAAACAAATACTGTATATATGAGGGACAATAGGGACAGTATTACATAAAGGGCAGTTTAAATTGTGACAGACATTAAAGAGAACTGAGGAGAAAATGAGGTGCAAGGAGAAAGCGAAGTGTGAGGGAGAATATAAGTTTTAAAAGGGGCAATTTTCTTGTAAGGGAGAAAATGCATCATGATGAGGTGTAAAGTATGAGTGGCACTGAGGAACGTGATGGACAGGTGAGGTACAATGGACAAAGTAACTGATTGCATGAGGAAGAATGGTACGAGATGTGAGGAAGAGTAAGAGATGTGAGGTACAGTGTGAGGAAGAGTAAGAGATGTGAGGAAGAGTAAGAGATGTGAGGTACAGTGTGAGGAAGAGTAAGAGATGTGAGGTACAGTGTGAGGAAGAGTATGAGATGTGAGGTACAGTGTGAGGAAGAGTAAGAGATGTGAGGTACAGTGTGAGGAAGAGTAAGAGATGTGAGGAAGAGTAAGAGATGTGAGGTACAGTGTGAGGAAGAGTATGAGATGAGGTACAGTGTGAGGAAGAGTAAGAGATGTGAGGCAGTGTGAGGAGAGAAGAGATGTGAGGACAGTGTGAGGAAGAGTAAGAGATGTGAGGTACAGTGAGGAAGAGTAAGGATGAGGTACAGGTGAGGGAAGAGTGAGATGTGAGGTACAGTGTGGAGGAAGAGTAAGAGATGGAGTAAGAGTGAGGAAGAGTAAGAGATGTGGAGGTACAGGGGAGGAAGAGTAAGAGATGAGGTAAGGAGGAAGAGTATGAGATGTGAGGTACAGTAAGAGAGGAAGAGTAAGAGATGTGAGGTACAGTGGAGGAAGAGTAAGAGATGTGAGGTACAGAGTGTGAGGAAGAGTAAGAGATGTGAGGTACAGTGTGAGGAAGAGTAAGAGATGTGAGGTACAGTGTGAGGAAGAGTAAGAGATGTGAGGTACAGTGTGAGGAAGAGTAAGAGATGTGAGGTACAGTGTGAGGAAGAGTAAGAGATGTGAGGTACAGTGTGAGGAAGAGTAAGAGATGTGAGGTACAGTGTGAGGAAGAGTAAGAGATAAGAGATGTGAGGTACAGTGTGAGGAAGAGTAAGAGATGTGAGGTACAGTGTGAGGAAGAGTAAGAGATGTGAGGTACAGTGTGAGGAAGAGTAAGAGATGTGAGGTACAGTGTGAAGAAGAGTAAGAGATGTGAGGTACAGTGTGAGGAAGAGTAAGAGATGTGAGGTACAGTGTGAAGAAGAGTAAGAGGTGTGAGGAAGATTAAGAGATGTGAGGAAGAGGTTTTTACAGAACCCTTGCATAAAATAAGAACTGATCTGAATGAATCTGAGTTTAACATCAAAGGCTATGACCCATTTTCTAATTTCTCCAGGAGTCGTAAGTAAGATGGGTCACATGATAAGAGGGAGCATTAGTTTAGTTGGCAAGAGGATGAGTCACTTAAGAGGAGCATTAGTTTAGCTGGCAGGAGGATGGGTCACTTAAGAGGGAGCATTAGTTTAGTTGGCAGGAGGATGGGTCACATGATAAGAGGGAGCATTAGTTTAGTTGGCAGGAGGATGGGTCACTTAAGAGGGAGCATTAGTTTAGTTGGCAGGAGGATGGGTCACTTAAGAGGAGCATTAGTTTAGTTGGCAGGAGGATGGGTCACTTAAGAGGAGCATTAGTTTAGTTGGCAGGAGGATGGGTCACTTAAGAGGAGCATTAGTTTAGTTGGCAGGAGGATGGGTCACATAAGAGGAGCATTAGTTTAGTTGGCAGGAGGATGGGTCACTTAAGAGGAGCATTAGTTTAGTTGGCAGGAGGATTAGCAATATCTGGGAGCATGGAGTCCCTGGTATTATAACTACAATAGCATATTAATGACATCAGTTGATCTCTTGGAGTATTGAGCTGTATTTCAATGGGCATGGGAGGGTGAGAGGAAGAGGCTAGACTCTAGCCTCTAGAGAATGAAAATCACAAGATCTCAGATGAGTACAGGAGTCGCCATATTGTATTGTAGTGGACGTCTCCCTTACAAACTGCGTAGCTGCATCCCACCTGCGACGCTTTCCTTAGCAACCAAGCGAGCCGACACCAGATGGTACGGTAACCTAGCAACGGAACCAAAAGACCGGCGACTTTCTGGGTTTTCCCAACATGACTCATAGCGGCTGCTGGGTATATAAGCTCTGTCTCTTCATTGAGATTCATTCTGACCATCTTCTTGAACAAGCAACACCTCCTCCTCCGCCGCTGCCTGGCAGCCCTCGTCTCTCCTCCGCCTGCCTGGCGGTCCTCGCTCCCGCCAGCGAGCATGGCAACCCACCAGCTGTCATTCTCTGAGCTTCCTCACCAACCAGCTTTCTCATTCTGCTCTCTCTTCTTGAACAAGCAACACCTCCTCCAGCAAGCTCCACGCTGTCAGCATTCATTCAACCAGGAGGCCAGCAACAGGCAACATCTTCTCTAACGAAGCTCCTGCACATCTACCTCCTTCAACACGCTACTCACCGAACGTCTCTACTGAGCAGCTCCTCACCACACGGCACCTCCAGCACCAGACTGTCTATCATATAACTTATATTATACAAGAAAACCACCTTAGAGTTTCCATCCATCCTGAGTGCTAGACAACATTATACCACGAATTCCCACAGTATCATTGTTGTACAGAATTATGGCCTCCTTAATTTATTCCCCCTTCACTGTCAGTCTTAACCAAAATACAGTATATTCTTCTATTTGGCCCCTGAGTACATACATGGTACGTACCTACAACATACATAATATACATACAGTACAGTACAGTACAGTACAGTAATATACATACAGTACAGTACTTGTTTTTGCACGAGTTAAGCTAATTAAAATCCTCCTATAGCATATTGTAGTGGAATTCTCCCCTACAAACGCTGTTTGTCGCTGCCTAGCCGACCCCACCAATTCCCTAGTGTATGCCTCGTGGTCTGGGTCAACCAGCGCCGCCATACATCACGGAGCGGGGGTCAACTACTAAGCCACGCCAACCCCCGCTATTTAAGACCTGACCTCGTGGTGATCTCCCTTTTTCTACCCACACCAACCAGCCAGCAACACCTCCTCCGCCGCTGCCTGGCGGCCCTCCCTCCTCCTCCTCCGCCTGCCTGGCGAGCATGGCGACCCACAAGCTGTCCTTCTCTGAGCGTCCTCACCAACCAGCTCTCTTTACATCACGCTTGTAACCATGCCGCCTTCCCAGCACCAAGCTGCATTGTACATCCAATACAACATGTAGCCTATATAGAGAGCACATTGAGTTTCCTTTCTCCATCCCATCCTGAGTGTGAACCAAACATCTTGAACCCCACAATATACTGTATAGACCCATCTTGTTTTTGTAGTAATTTATTTATTGGTTAAATTCTATAAGAAATTAGTTGTTCAAGACCTTTTTTTATTCATAAATATCAGCGGTATTGTCTTGTCATAAAACTGCTACGGGGAAAGTTTTTAATTTATGCTTGAACTGCAGTATCATCTCTTGTCTGATAATCAGTCAAGTTATATTGAATCTGAAAATATATGAAATTGATCGTATCTGAATAAAAAAAATTCAATGTGCAGTACGAGTAAATTTTGGCCATTGGACATGATACGTAGGCTACTGTTATTACTGTGATCCCATATTTCATACTGAAATGTCCATTTTTGAGAGATAGTTCCATTTTAATTAGTTTACTCTTATGTTCTCCCAATTTCTTTAATACACACGTATTTAATTTTAAAGTATTCGTTTAGTGTTCATGATTGGCTGCACCAGAAGTAAACACATGAATTTTTAACCAATAAGAGAGCGAAATGTCCATTAACAACCAGTGGTTTATTTATCCCGAAATTAATGTTTGATAAAGCGACCCCTGAGAAGCTTGGGTGATGACGTTAAATGCGCCATAATGACGTCACTTTAACACCTCAATGCGGAACCTGGGGGTGCTGGTGGTAGAGTGGTACCGCTCTTGCCTTCGCAAGCGAGATGTCACGGGTTCGATTCCCGGGCCGGTGGAAGTTGTTAGGACATACTTCCTAGCCCCCATTAGTCCCTGTTCACCTAGCAGTAAAGTAGGTACCTGGTGTAAATCGAAAGTTGCGAATTCGTATTCAGGAACAAGTTGTTGGAACTTCCAATAACTTGATAACATAAACCATTGACTCTCCAGGCCTCTATGCCCTTGACTCTTCAGGCTTCTACGCCCTTAACTCATGAGATATAAAGGCAAGCATGAACTTAGCATGCTTCCCTGTTGGGCGCTGTAAACGCTTCTGCGCTTCACCTTGCACAAGGCTGTAGGGGAGTGCCCAATAAAAAAAAAAAAAAAAAATGCGGAACCCCTGAACCCCTGATGGAGATAAGAGCTGTATTTTTAAGACCAAACCTGATTTTGGTCAGTATTAATTATAATTATATTAGTTATAGTTATTATTATAAAGTGTATTAAACAATAGCTTGGTAGCTATTGGTCGTTAATTCCTCCAAGAGTTACAATAGTCAATTCTGCAAAGTTCAACTGAATTATTGTACACTTTCTTGCATGTGGATCAGTGGCGGCTCGTGAAAAATGAAATGGAGGGACTGCAAGCCTCACACAACAGTAGGATACACAAATTTGACCTACCTCAGGTATGAGTTGTAGTTGATGTCCACGAATTCCCAGGGCATGGTAGTAGTGTTGGTGGTGATGGACCAGTATTAATTGAAAATAAAGTCGGCGTGTCTGCTCTTCGATGTAGCAAAATTGTTTATTACTATTTCATTAAAATCCTTTATTTCTGTTATCATTTTATTTTCAATGGATATCACTGCTAAAGCAGACAGTCTGTCATTCACCATGGTACTGCGCAAAAAAGTTTTAATTCTCTTCAAAGTTGAAAAGCACCTTTCTGCTTCTGCCGTTGTCATTGGAGTTGTTATCAAAATTTTCAGCAACTTGACAGTGTCTGAAAATGTTGACTGTAGATTATTGTCATTCATCATCTCCAACAAGTCTTCCTCTTGCTTTGATTTCAGTCTTTTCATTTAATGTCAGCTGGGAAAAGTTGATGTTTTGCAAATACTTCACTCGATTTTCCATCGTCAAAGGGTAATTAAAGAAAGCACGATTTAACCACACCGTCCACACGCAATGTAAACACGTTGTACGAGACTGAGTTGCTTCAAGTGCGGCGGCGGCGTCAATTAATAACAGACATGAATCGTACAACATTGACAGCAACTATGAAAGTAACTTAAATTTTGGTCTGATTTTAATGAAAATTCACTTAGCAACGTATTGAAAATAATTAAATAACATATAAAATGATATATTTGTTGGTAGTGTATTATTTAGCTGTCTCTCTAAAGGAATCATACGCCTGGCAGTGAGTGTCTGGGGGGACTGCAGCTCTGCAGCCCTATGCACGAGCCGCCACTGATGTGGATAAATATACTCATAGTTAATATGATTACCATAAATTATTAGACAAATTAGGTTTAATTAATGAGAAACATGGCTCCATTTGTTGATTAATTGATTGAGGATTAGGTGAGGTAATGTTAGGTTTAATTAATGAGAAACATGGCTCCATTTGTTGATTAATTGATTGAGGATTAGGTGAGGTAATGTTAGGTTTAATTATTTCGGATTTGTAACAAAATTGGTGTCACCATTGTACTTGACATCCCCCCAAACTCCCTGTATTAACTTTCCATATACCACAGATCACTACAGGTACTACTACTACTTTGCTGTCGCTCGGAATCGAGTATGACGACCATCCAGCTATGATACAATGATAATGAGTTATTAAGGATGTCACCTTCGTTGGTGAGTTTTAAGGCGACTAAAGAGGTCAATACGGGACCGGCTGAGTCGTTCACAGATGTTGCACATGTGAATGGCTCCATCTTGTGCAGGAAGGGCGGCCTCAGCGTCTTTCCGGCGTTGGCGCTTGTCTGCCTTGGTATGCAGTTGGGCTAACTCGAAAGTATTGACACCTTCTTGTGTGGTGCCCCTCCAAACGTTACGGTGTGAAGTAATCGTCTCCCAGGTGAAGGGGTCGATTGACACTTTTCAGGTTTGTCTTAAGACTATCCTTATACCTTTTCAGTTGCCCGCCAGCGTTACATTTACTATTCGTTAGGTGACTGTAAAGTAGTTGCTTTGGCAGCCTACTGTCGTCCATGCGGGTAACATGGCCAGTCCAGCGTAGTTGTTCATGGATAATGGTAACCTCGATGCTCCTACAGTTGGTGTCAGCAAGATTACTGGCATTTGTTCTCTTGTCTTCCCAGAGAACTCGGAGGATGGAACGTACTGTAGAATACGTTGGTGAAAATTATCAAGTGCTTTGGGGTGCCTCCTGTATGTGACCCATGTCTCGCTGTCATATAGCAGGGTGGGGAGGACCACTGCTCGATATACGTGCAACTTTGTAGATAATTTCAGCTCTCTACAGCTGAAGACAAGGGCACAGAATCTACCAAAGGCTTGAGATGCACATCTGATCCGATGTTGAATCTCTTCATCGATGTCCGCAGTGGTGGACAGGTGGGAGCCAAGATACCGAAAGTGGGTAACATTAGAGAGGGTAGTATCGTTAAGCTGGATGGATGGTAGGTACTCATAACGTCATAACCTTTGTATTTTGTTGTGGCCGCTCATAAAAACTAGCTTGACCTAAACGAATCCTAAATAGACTAACATCGGATGTTTTAGGAGGAATATAGTTTCATCTAGCAATATTCCTACTCAAGTGCTCTCTGAGCTGAATGTTGGGATCTGCTATAGAACGTAATTCCTAAATCCGCCTCATTCTGTTTGTAAAATCTTTACCTGCACAACTTTTCATTATAGAACAGAACTTGATGTCTATAAGATAAAACTGAAATTCGTGAACTCGGCCAATCTGTATATGGAGTACAGTGTATGTTATGTTGGAGAACCAAAGTTGTAGTGGATTCTCTCCCCTACAACCGTTGTGTCCCTGACCAGCCGACCCTCTTCGAATTCCCCCAGCATATGCCTCGTGGTCTAGGTCGGCAACCAGCGCCGCCTAACATAGCGGAAGTCAACTATCAAGCCACACCTACCCCAGCTATATAAGACCTCACGTGGCCGTGACCTACCTCTTACCCAAGGGAGCAGAACATAGATAAAACACTAATAGGAAAGATGAAACGATCTGGTTGAGCCCAGATTCTTTCTACTCCTACTGTATTTCAGTTTCACCACTTTTTCTTCAACCCCTAATAATCTTCTTTCACCTCATAACTAATGACTCCGTTCCGTTCGACCTACCTCTTTCTACCAACAGCCACCAGCAAGCAACACCTCCTCCTCCTCCGCTCCTGCCTGGTGGCCCTCGCTCCCGCCGGCGACCATGGCGCCCTACAAGCTGCCTGTCCTCCTTTGAGCACCCTCACCAACCAGCTCTCCCTACACCACGCTTGGACTCACGCTGCCACCCCCCAGCACCAAGCTGCATTGTACCCAATACAATATGCATACAGAGAGCACATTGTGAGTTTCCTTTCTCCAACCCATCCTGAGTGTGAACCAATATCTCATAACCCCACAAAGTAAACAGCGACGCGTCGTCGCGTCACGTCACGGGAAACAATCCTACAAACACACATTGTGTCACCAATAATACCAGGCTCACAAACTCATTTCTAAAATAGAAACTGTATATGAGCGAAATAGAGCCCCGCACACACATCTTTAGTATATCCGCGGAAAAAATAAAGATTCTGGAATTGATTACACAAAGCCGTACTAAACCCATTGAATTGGGTAGAAAATTCTCAGCATTTTATGGTACCATTGTCATAAAATACATGAGAGATATTAAAGGAACGCAAGGTACTAATAAATAACCGATGTGTACAGTAATGTATGTGTGTGTGTGTGTGTGTGTGTGTGATAGGGCGACACTACGCTTGTGTCAGGCCGAGACACTGGAGTGTTGTACAGTATCAGTAGCTGGCGTTCCTCAGTCTGGATTAGACCGTCCAGCTGTTAGTGGCCGCTTGTGTCACCCCAGTGGATAGAAATACTCGCCAATAGTACTTAACCTTCATCAGACGACAAGATGTAAGTACGCTGCTTAATGTTACAATTATTATTTTTGTCGCATAACCAACCAAATCTTCAACTCGACACTTGATTGTGTACATAATTTTTCCTAGTTTTGGGTAACAAATATTAGGAAATCTTAATAATAATTGAATATCCATCTTAAAATAAACCAAAAGAGGCGTGAGGTTTATAATTAATACTACATTATTATTATGACAGTAGAGATTATATTTGTCGACCACTATAAAATGTGGTACCGTATTCCAGCAATTGTGTACTTGTGTTGTCGACAGGGGAGGGCGATGCGGGTCGTTGCTATGGTTTGAATATTGCTCGCAAATAAACAAACCACATGATTTACTTGATATTACTCTTAATAAGTAATCACATGAACCATCCCTTCAGATTATAATGAAACTTTAATCCGAACATATAAACTCTATAAACATTTATTAATTAATCTACCAGTGTATTAATGAATATCTGAATAAATGGATTTCACTGTGTTGTGAATAATTATGTATTGGACGAAATGAATCAAGGAAATAAACATATATGAAGATAAATAACACGCTAACTGAATGATTAATAAGGGACACTTGCCCGTCTGTCACCTGTTGCCTGGAAGTACTTGTTATGCGTCGCACATCTTTCATCACATCCATTAACTATATAATGACGATGGTTTAAATTAGAGGACGATGGTTTAATTTTGAAGACGATGGTTTAACTTGAGGACGATGTTTTAACTTGAGGACGATGGTTTATCTTTGAGGACGATGGTTTAACTTGAGGACGATGGTTTAACTTGAGGACGATGGTTTAAATTTGAGTATGATGGTTTAAATTTGAGGACGATGGTTTATCTTTGAGGACGATGGTTTAACTTGAGGACGATGGTTTAAATTTGAGTATGATGGTTTAAATTTGAGGACGATGGTTTAATTTTGAGTACGATGGTTTAAATTTGAGGACGGTGGTTTAACTTTGAGGGCAATGGTTTAATATTTTAAGATGATAATTTGAATCGAAGGACGATGGTTTGACTAAGGACGATGGTTTAACTTTGAGGGCAATGGTTTAATATTTTAAGACGATGGTTTGAATCTGAGGACGATGGTTTAACTCTGAGGACGATGGTTTTACTTTAAAAGACGATGATTTAACTCTGAGGGTGATGGTTAAATAAGGACTATTTTTTTGTATTAATTATTTATGGTTTCCCTCCTTCCCAACTCATCAACCATTTACTATGATCATAAGAGCCGGTAGAAGGTATGTGTAAATGTTTGTCTTGTTCACAATTATCACCTACAATGTCAGTCCGCTCCATAATCGTCGGCGGGTGAGTCTTGTACAGTATCACCAAATAGTAGGACAGGTGGGGACGAGAGGTGATCGTGTAGTGCTTGCTACAATTTATGATAACAGGTGGTCCCTCCTTAGTGAAGAATGGGACGATATTTCACAGAAGGTTGTATAGACCTGAAAAAGTCACTAACATTTGTTTTTTAAATTGTATTATTATTATTATTATTATTATTATTATTATTATTATTATTATTATTATTATATATATATATTTTTTTTTTTGGGGGGGGGTCAGTTAAACGATCGCCCACACCCACTTGTAGTAGGCCCACCCCTCTTCTGCTCACTTAAACCGGTTGCTGCTTGAGTTGCACTGCAAACAGCTAGGCAAAAAAAAGTAAAATAATTAGGCCATATCACAGGCTGGTAAGCATTAATAGGTTTCGTTATTAAACCCTAACGAGTAAAATCATCTAAATATCGTGCTTTAGCTCCAGTCAAATTATTTTATAACCAGTTTTAAATTTTCTAATGCGCTTGATTAATCTTATAAAAATAAAACGCCATCCCGTTGTAAAGACTTTCCGCTGGCTTAGGTAATAAAGGGAAAGCTGCAGCGCGCTCCCTAGACTGTTCCCATACTGGCCGTGAGTCTTACCTGTGATGTACTGTACAGTATAGTTTGTTGACCAGTCTGTGATTTATATTTCCATTACAGGTTAGCTATGAAATTATCAAAATGTTACACTTCTTACACAAAGCTAAAGGGGCAATTCGTCCATGTTTATTTTTTTAGGCTGGTGTTACTTTCACCACATAATGTACAGGCCATGAGAAACTACAGTAACTAGTGGTTGTGATATAGTGTATGCAAAGCTGTTCATGAATAGGTCAGCATTAGCTCGATACACGAGTCATGAATGACCTGTACATTATATGGGGGAGCGTGGCGTGCGTGTGGCCACTTGGACGGCCAGGTAGTCGATGGTTGCCAAGAGGTGGAGCACAGCTATTGGTGCCACATGTCTCCTGTTTCTACCTGATCAATTATCTTCTTGTCATTGTTGTGGGTGTCACACGTCCCCAGAAACCACAACTTCGGTAACTTGAGCTAAATGTTTGTGTTATGTACAAAAAACAAAAAAGTACCCGTTAATATGAAGATTGTTTACGTTTTATGGATGGCTTACATACAGTATAATATAATGATCATGATAATATAACTGTGCTTGGTCACAGTTACAGCATTTGTTGCCGTATGCGAGTCATTACTCACAATTTGACTATAAACGTCATATATCTATGGTCTATACCTTTACAGTATGTCTTCCCATTACGTTTTCCACCTCATGCGTTATTCCCTTCGGTAAAAGGCTGTGTGGACTTTCATATCAACCAAAATAATTTACAACACACTAATATTAAAGATAGTCTGCCAGAGCCGGTGCCAAGCGACCCCGATGTTTGCCTTATTTGTTTACGTTTAAATCAGTTTCTCGCGGTCATTATAAACAACGATTTATTATTTAAATTGTTTCGACACATTTAACACTGTCTAGCTGAAGTAACAGTCCAGAATATGGCAGATAGAGGTCATAATTATGTTAAAACAAGACAACACTGTCAGAGGGATGACACCGTTTAGCTTAGGAACATAATCCAAATATGGAAAAGCAAGTAAGACGCGATTGTAAGATGAAACATAATGCTTGAGGTGACAGTAATATGTGAGTGGCAACATCATCCAGCACACAGAAGCAATATATGAGATAAACTCCAAATGAAGTGAAATGACAATGATACCAACGTCTCAGGAAGATCATACGGCTGCGTGTAGCCATATATACAGTATATGCATCGTACATCACCATAATTCCCGGATAAAGTATAAATTTACAGGTTATGTGGCTGGTTCTTGTGACCGAGTCTTTTAGTATTGTATGAAGTGTTCGTCACTATACACCAGGTGGGTTCAAGGGCAGGTTGGTACAGTACATTCTGGGGAACGTGACAATGTTTAAATATTGTTCCTTGATAAACAATCACCCAGACTTTTTTATTTTTGCCTGTCTAATGATTTTAAGAGATCAGATGTTAAACAACCCCAAAAATATACACTTAAAGCTGCTGTTTGGTCAAATTTATATAAAGATGAGGCGGTACCAAGATACACAGTGACGCGTGAATGACTGGGGTAGGAGACGTTATATTCCCTTACGATATTAAAAAAATATAAATAAAATCCCCAATATCTCCATCGCTAATGTATATTTTAACCATGTCACTCTCGAATTATTATGGTTTTACCCAATTAAATGTTTATTCAAAGCCCACAATACACATGCAAATATCTCTGAACCCCCAGAAACCTACCCTTTAAAATTCTCAAACCATAAATTCCTTCCCTGGTTTTTCTTACATTTTAAATTCATTGTGATCTTTAGATAATTTGCTGTCCAGTGTTATTTTTGTCCTCTGCTTCCAATTGTGTTTAATACCAATTAGGATGCATGGCATCACGAAAATTGTGACCAAGTCCCAGGTTGCTCATCTGACTTTCTGCCTCATTTACACACAATTGCAGGGTCTCAATTGTTTCTCTTACTATTGACAACACAACATACATATATTTGTTCCTCACTTATGATTTTTTTTTCATTTTGTATTTCTTTGTGGTTCTTTATTATTATTGTTATTATTATTATTATTATTATTATTATTATTATTATTATTATTATTATTATTATTATTATTATTATTATTACTATTACATTTTCGCCCCCCAGGCCCCGATGTGGGTCAGTGACCTGTGCCTGGGTGGGCTAATTCCCGTAAAAAAAGTGTCGTAAACTGGCCTCATATTGTAAAAAAAAAATCATGCCAACTATAAATAAAATGTCCCTAAAAAAATTTGGTATCTGACTGTAAAAAATAGTATCGTAAAAAAATGCTTTCACTAAAAAAAATGCAAAAAAATGCTCACTGTAAAAAAAATAATCACTGTAAAAAATGCTCTCACTAAAAAACAACTGTATCTCACTGTATAGGAAAAAAAAAACGCTATCCCTTTACATTTATTGCCCAGAAATTATTACCATCTTTTCCAACTTTGACCCTTTGATGTGGATCCATAAACGAGATACTGTACATGCAACGATCCATCGATCCCTCTGCCCTGCACTGTAATCCAAGCAACATATGACCTACTTCGGATTAATAGAGCGATGTGAGGAAGGGCCGACTGTGTATTGGCGTGTACCTTGAGGCCTTTTGTGAACAGCACGTGACCTGTTTACCTTATCACAGGGCATAACATAACCTCTTAATTATGATGGATGAAACCCTATGAGGAAAACTTAAACCTCCAAAATAACTTTATTCCTTGAGTACGCTGCAATGAGATCTTGAGTGCAGTACATTACAGTATTATAGTTCAGCTTGGTGAGTACGGCTGCTCTTACACCTCAAATACGATGACGTGAGAACGATAAGTTGATTTTTTCGTACAATAAATTATTTTAGTAGGACGATATAAGTGGAACTCAGGTGGTCGTGGATATCACTTTAGCCTAGTGCCCGAACGACCAGTCATGCTACAGGTGTACTGTACATGACGCACAAGCAGTTGTCATGTCAACACATACACTTAAACGTCATGTGTGTGTGTGTGTGATCTGAAGACAATATCGAGCATCAAATATGTTTTGCTAATGTATAATTAGTTACTAGCTTGGCATGACCAACTTTTTACTGTATCGTCTAGCTGGTGCACTGAACTCTATCATTTATCAGAAATTTGTTTTAGCAATGATCTTGGCAGCAGACCCTCATGCAGTGCACGCGACTGTTACAAATCTTGCACCAGAACCTGTCACACAAAATTATCTCTGGCGCACTGTACACTGAGACAAAACTATATTCCTAATCTGTCTGATGATCTTTTAAAGCTGGCGAAACGAAATTATAGATTTACCTCGACTGTACGTACATACAAACACTTGGTCTGCCTCACTGGATAGCATGATTCATCTGAGAGGAGAAGCCGCCTTTATAATGGAACATTAAGCATATTATGGTTCGAAACATCCCAAATTGGTTAATGTGGTAAATAATATATTTCAGTCATGATAAATGGACAACAGGGATGCCCTGGAAACTCAGGATCAGTCATCCAACTGTTCAAAAGTTTCCCAGAGGGCGTATGGAAAGGTTCCAGTTTTCCCTGATACATTCATTCAAGATAGGGATGCAGTTCTGTCGCTCACTGTAAACTAACAGCCATTTTCGTGTATAATAAGACTCGTTGCTGTGTAATGGTAATGTTTTCAGTGTACATACAATGAAAACTTGTGTAGCATAATGACACTCAACTCAGTGTACATTGTATGCCTTCGTGTACGGTATAGTAGCATTATATGTGGTAAACAGTGACATCCTCTCTGGTATGGATGAATGCTGTCTAGTGTACATAGTGTAATACTTGCTGTGACTTTCAGACCCGTAGCAGGAGGAGCGGCCATGCCCGGGGGAAAAACTCCGTAAGTTGTGTTGTGCGGTGGCAAGTGTTCTGTGTTGGCTGCTGCATGGTGGTAGCCTTCAGCTCGTCACGCTTCATGGTCTCATTAAATTCACCATCATAAGTTTAGAAGAAATCCGCCTCCCTTGATGGAATTAAAAGCACTTCACTAGTCACAAATACTCATTTTCGACGGCGTAAAGATCTCCCTGAAATTCTTATCAAAGTGTAGCTCAAATGTACAACTATTATTTGCTGTACCCAAGGAGATGCTGGCCACAGTATGTTGTTTTCATGGATATTTTATTATTATGTATATCAGTCCAACAAAATTTCTTCATAAGACCAATTAATACACCTCAACTATATTGTAAGTGTTTACAACTAGACAGCACCAGACCAAACACCTGCAGAGAGGACGTGTAATGAAAAGTAAACGGGGATATTGGTAATCGTTCATCTGCAGGTGTTGGCTCTGCAAGTCTCAGCCACGCTCTTAACAGAGTTTGGGTGAAGCTGTTTTGGTAGTCTAGCCTTTGTCCATGATAATGTTGTTGTTGTTGTTGCTTAGTGTCGTCTCACGCATTGTGCTAAAACTGGTGTATGTTGCTTTAAATTTACAGTTATTAATATCATTAATGGTAAGTTCCTCACCGCACCAAATACCTTCACGCTAGTCAGCTGCCGTAAGCCAGATACTACACCAGCAGACTGCAGCACAGTAATAAGCCTCCAGTACATGGTGTTAATTGGAAGAAAACGTTCAATAGCGTATCATCAACACGGCGGATAATTTTTTTCATTGTGTTGTACGGAATTGATTCCTGCCGCGAATTGGGCTAATAATTACCATAAAAAGGTGTTTTCGAGTAAAAAGTTTACACACCTGTTCATGACGTGCATTTTATATTAACTAAAACATTTTCAACGCACTGTATATGTATAAACCCTATTTTCTGACAAGAACTTGTTATCTTACGCCACAACTAACATGGTGACTGAATATTTTTTTTGTCATCTACCATCGTAAGGGTTACGAGATCTTATCTGCGGTTATTATTGGTGACATAATTATAGACCAAGTACGTAAAGATGACCCAGAAGATAATAATTAAAGAGGTAAGCTCACTGAATAAAGTATTAAATATGTTCACCTTATTGATAATATATAACATAAACAGGTATGCTTTTTTAGCTAATAACAAAATACGACATGTATGCACTGAGGTATTACTTACAAATGTGTAAATATAACCAAAAATGTTTGACTAAATCAATAACAATAATGCAATTAATCTCATTTACATAATGGTGGATAAGCAGTAAGTTGTCACTCCACCTTCTGCATGCTTCCCTCCCTCACACACACACCTGTTGGCACAAGTCTTGTTAGTGTGCACACGCTACACTCGTGGCTAAAACAATACATCTTCAAACTATATCAATGAAGGTGTTTAGTGGCAGAATTTTTTATTCAGATGTGTAGTCTGAGTATTGTACGTCCGACAAATATACGGAATAAACTTGTCACTGATATCTACTGCACATTACTACGTAGCCGAATGGTTACAGTATAAAGCTATACAAGTCTGCATCTATTACCCGGTCACCAACAGGGTAGTGATTTGCACAGATGCGGTCACGTGACCTGCACAGCTACGTTAACTGTCAGAAATAATGTACCCATAGTCATCAAATTTCTTACAGTCTGCATTAATGAAACCTTATAGATCATCGTGATAAATATAGTATTGTATTAAAAACTAAAAATGTGCTGACAAAATATTTATTGAAGAGCTAATGCCATACGTACACAACCATGACAAAACATCTGCAACACGTTTTTGTTTATTAAATTCGCTTTATTTTTCTAATGCTCTTTATTACGACTATCTTGAGGATTTCATGAATATACAATAAACTATTGGTGAACATGAAGCAAACCCACTGGCAAAACAGGAAGTTAAAATCTGCCACTGTTAATATCTGGGGGTTTTCACCAATGGAGGTCACGTGACTGCACCAGCAATACTGACTGGAGATGACAAGACTTGTTTTATTTTATCCTCTTCACCAAAAGATCGGCTCGTTAGCCGCTTGTGCGATCGGTCACGTCTCTGTTACGTACTGTTGGCAAGTACTGGGCATGCACCGGCTCCTGAATGTACCTGAACCTGCTCCAATGTTGGTCAAGTCTGGTCTTGAAAGAGCTACACTCGGTGCCGTCTCAACACTTTCTGGTAGATTGTTCCAAGAGTTCACAACTCTCACTCCAAAAAAGTTTGACCTCACAGTTTTCTGGACTTGCAGCTTCTTCAAACTTGACCTGTTTTGATACACTTCCTGCACATTCTACCACTCACCATGTTGGTCGTTCCTATATGTGCAACCTTGCTTACTACTCTGACTCCTGAGATGTCCTCGCCTCAACACCACAACCTTCACCTCTGTCTCCAGCCACCTCACCCTTCTCTCTCCCCAACCTATCTGTCCCCCACAACCCTCACTGACCTGTGGGTGTCGCAGGATGGGTCGTAACAGATTCTACGGCAACTCTCACGGCCTGCCGGGGCTTCCCAAGTCCCAAATGCCACTTGGAGGTCACCCTCGCCCACGTGCTCCTCCCTTGATGCCACCACCGCCACAACGGCTGCCGCAGCAGATGGCACGATCACCGCAACCGCTGCCTCAACCCATAACAATTACACAACCAGACCCAATGGCAGGTAAGACCTTCCTCGGTGACAACAGTTTACCAGGAGTAACTCGGGGGAACAAAATTACTTGTAGAAATATATGTTCATCAAACATTAGTGTGGCTTTGAAGGGACACCACAGAAACCCTAAACTAGGTGGGCACTTAGGCTACCATGACACCAAACCATGTATAATGGGTTCTTTTAACGTGTCAGTATTGTATAAGTTTGATTTAATTCATAAAATATGATGACTTTTCAAAAACTTAGTGATATTCTTATATAGAAATGAGTTTTTGTAATTGGCACAAACTTGAATTACTGTAAACTTGAAATAACATGTGGTTGTTGAAGGGGTCATGGTGTGAGGGGTGAGCGTCTCTTGCCATACAAACAAACTACTGTGTACAGTTGAATCCTTACGTCACGATACAAATGAAAAAAGATCAAAGCTCTTGGCAGATGTAAACACACGTGCTATGTCATGTAGCAATACTGCACTGTATATATGTACTAACAGTAGAGAAGAGTGTCTGTTACAGATAGCATTTTGTTGCTGAAAATAATAATTATAACGATCAGTCTCCCTCCTGACAATAACAAGAGGGACGCCCTAAACCAGGCTCACTTGAACTACAGAAAATATTATGGCTAAGATACAAAAACTCGCCCCAGATTAAATAAGAATCAATCGCACCTTTCTGCTATGAGATTGTAATCACATTTAGGGAAATCAATTCAACTTACAATTTTTTCGAGAATTAATGGTAAAGTGAAGTCCATGATGGTGAAGTGTTGTGTCGCAGGTCGCAGGATGGAGATGTTGGAACAGCGCCTCAACGCCACAGAGCAGAGCAACCGAGCACTCCTTGACGAACTGATGCGTCTACAGCAGGACCTTAAGGTACGTGTGTGTGTGTGTGTGTGTGTGTGTGTGTGTGTGTGTGTGTGTGTGTGTGTGTGTGTGTGTGTGTGTGTGTGTGTGTGTTATACGGTACGATGTCACCCTTACTCTATTCTAGTTACCTTTAGTCGAACCTTACCACCATTTACCTCCTAACATAACCCAACCCAACCCACCCCAACTTAACCTAACCTAACCTAAGAGCTCTTATTACCCAACTAGACATAATATTTTCACCTTTTTTACCCATGGTGTACTTGGCAAACTTAACTTGAATACTTTGTCAGTTAGAATTGTTTGGTTTTCCTGAGGCCACACAATCATATGCATCTACCACAGTCCATGGCGCAGGAGAGAGAACAAGGGAGAGATGAAGGGAGGAATGAGAGAAAACGAGAGAGGTGAAGAGAAGGAATAAGAGAGAACTAGAGAGATGATGGGAGGAGTGAGAGAAAACGAGAGAGGTGAAGAGAAGGAATAAGAGAGTGAATGAGAGAACGAGAGAGGTGAAGGAAGGAATGAGAAAACGAGAGATGAGGGAAGGGAATGAGAGATAATAGATGAGAACGAGAGATGAATGAAGGGGGAGGAGAGAAAACAAGAGAGGTAAAAGGAAGGAAGGAGAGGGAACGGGAGAGATGAAGGGAGGGAATGAGAGATGAAGGGAAGGAATGAAAAGAAAGATCCTTCACCACAGACACAGAGACAACTTCCTTCCTTCCTTCACAGATGAACGTCAAGAGGAACGAAATGGGGCTGGTGGAGGAGAAGGAGGCAAGGACCCGCCTGGAGAACACATTCAGACAGTCACAGAACAAAAACTATGAGTACGAGGACAGGATGAGGCGGTGTGAGGAGGCACTGAAGGTGAGTTAAATGTCCTTCAGCGTGATGTGTTTAATGAGGAGAGGAAGTAAGGGGAGGAGGATGAGGAAAGGAAGTAAGGGGAGGAGGAGGAAGAGAGGGAGTATGGGGAGGAGGAGGAGAGGGAGTATGGGGAGGAGAGGAGAGGGAGTATGGGGAGGAGGAGGAGAGGGATGGGGAGGAGAGGAGAGGGAGTAAGGGAGGAGGAGGAGGAAGAGAGGGAGGGGGAGGAGAAGGAGAGGGTAAGGAGGAGGAGGGAGTATGGGGAGGAGGAGGGAGTATGGGGGAGGAGGGGAGGAGGGAGGAGGGAGTAAGGGCACTAGCGTAGCTAGGGGGTCCGCCCCGGGCGCACTTTTGGGGGGCGGCACTTTTGGGTCTGCTCATCACCCATATCTGCAGCTACTGGAGACGTTAATCCATCCCTTTGTATCGGCGGCAAGTTAATCCTTGTCGTGTCTGACCTAACACCTGACCCACATCATCACGGCCACGTCATGAGCTACGTACACCCTTGCTATGCGCCCCCCCCACACACACAACCTGTAACCTGTTGAGGATTAAGGAAACAACTTCAAACAAGTACGCCAGTGAGCTCATGTGGTGTGGGTCAGGTGTTAGGTCAGACACGACGAGGATTAACTTGCCGCCGATACAAAGGGAAGAATTAACGTCTCCAGTAGCTGCAAAACCATGCAGTCTCGGGTCATATCAGTTCATGTACAGCCGACCAATCCACCAGTTACAAGCAATTCACTTCAGTTCTCCACAAGTCTCCATCGTGACAAGACGAGGGGAGGCTAGACGACTTTTAAGTTCTCTTGTGTTTTCGATCCAGTTATTTACTTCGTTGGAAGACATAATACTATAAGGTAAGAAATATTAAAGTATTGGTTAAAAAATATTGATGTGACTTTTGCTGCGGTACTGAGATTAAATATTAAGATTTTGTTTCACAGCATTGCGATTTTATACTAAGACACTATCCTCACTGGGGTACAGACAAAAGCCCCCCCGACAAAAGCCACCCAGACAAAAGCCCCCCAGACGAAAGCCACCCAGACAAAAGCCCCCTACTTTGATCGGGGTGGCTTTTGTCTGACAACAGTAAGGCAAACTATTTAATATATATATATATATATATATATATATAAAAGAGTGAGTCACTGTGCAATATGTATTTTTTGTAGGGTCACGGGGGGGGGGGCGGCAAACTCAAGGGCCGCCCCGGGCGGCACACACTCTAGCTACGCCACTGTCTGTAAGGGGAGGAGGAGGAGAGGGAGTATGGGAGGAGGAGGAGGAGAGAGGGAGTATGGGGAGGAGGAGGAAGAGAGGAGTATAGAGGGAGGGAGTAGGGAGGAGGAGAGGGAGTAAGGGGAGGAGGAGGGAGAGGGAGTAAGGGGAGGAGGAGAGGGAGTAAGGGAGGAGGAGGAGGGTAAGGGGAGGAGGAGGAAGAGGGGTATGGGGAGGAGAAGGAGAGGGGTAAGAGGGGAGGAGGAGGAAGAGAGGGAGTATGGGGAGGAGGAGGAAGAGAGGGAGTATGGGGAGGAGAGGAGGAGTATGGGGAGGAGGAGGAAGAGAGTATGGGGAGGAGGGAGGAAGAGAGGGAGTATGGGGAGGAGGAGGAGGGAGGGGGGAGGAGGGAGGAAGAGAGGGAGAGGGGAGGGAGGAGGAGGAGTAGGGGAGGGGAGTATGGGGGAGGAGGAGGAGAGAGTAAGGGAGGAGGAGGAAGAGAGTATGGGGAGGAGGAGGAAGAGAGGGAATGGGGAGGAGGGAGGGAAGAGAGGGAGTGTAAGGGGAGGAGGAGGAGGGGAGTAAGGGGAGGAGGAGGGAGTGGGGATGAGGAGGGAGGGGAGGAGAGGAGAGGGAGTAAGGGGAGGAGGAGGAGGAAGGGGAGTATGGGGAGGGAGGAGGAAGAGGAGTGGGAGGAGGAGAGGTAGGGGAGGAGGAGGAGAGGAGTAAGGAGGAGGAGGAGAGTAAGGGGAGGAGGAGGAGGAGGGAGTAGGGAGGAGGAGGAGAGGGAGTATAGGGGGAGGAGGATGAGGAAAAGGAAGTGGGGAGGAGGAGAGAGGGGAGGAGGAAAGGAAGTAGGGGAGGAGGAGGAGAGGGAGTAAGGGAGGAGGAGGAGGAGGAAAGGAAGTAAGGGGAGGAGGGATGAGGAAAGGAAGCAGGGGAGGAGGAGAGGGAGTAAGGGGAGGAGGAGGAGAGGGAGTAAGGGGAGGAGGAAAGGAAGTAAGGGGAGGAGGAGGAGGAACGGAAGTAGGGAAAGAAGAGAGTAGAGAAAGGGGAGAAGCAGGAGAGGAAGTGGGGAAAGAGGAGAAGCAGGAGGAGGGGGAGGGGAGGAAGTAGGGAAAGGGGAGGAGGAGGCGGAGGAGAGGAAGTAGGGAAAGGGGAGGAGGAGGCGGAGGAGAGGAAGTAGGGAAAGGGGAGGAGGAGGAGTGGAAGTAGGAGAGCCTAAGAGTACAAAATGTTTTCATAGATTTTTCAGTGATATTTTAGTGGGTTAAAAAAGTATATACCGCTGCTCACTCGCCCCTACAGGAGAACCGCAACGCTGTACAACAGATGGTCTCCCACACCAAGAGCATAGAGAGGGCCATCTCCACCTCCCAGCAAGAGCAGATGGAGCGTCGTGGTAACAGTGCCCAGAAGTAAGAACCTTGGTCACCCCAGCCTCACCTGTTGCTCACACCATAAGCTGTTATTTTGATACATCAGCTAACCAGTAATATTATCCTTGGTTATTCTTGTTATCATCAGCTGCTGTAATTGATATTATCAGCTGGTGCATCTATTATATAGCTGCTGTCGTTGTTCTATCAGCTATCTTTGTTGACAGCAGTTATTATTATACATCTTGTTAGCTTTATTATAAATTGCCTCTGCTGTTAATAACATCAGGTCATCCTCGTCAGCAGTTGTTGTTGTTGTTTTCGTTATCTGTTGTAAAACATCTTACTTCTGCTCTGCCTAAGACTGCAGGAGTACAAGCACGAGGTGATGAAGATGAACCAGAGTAAGGAGCAGCTGGAGCGACTGTGCTTCTCGCTGAGAGACGAGATGAGGGAAACGGCATCTAAGGTGGACAACCTCACGCAGGAGATGACATCACTCGAGGGCAACGTCAGGATGCAGGGCCGCCTCCTCGAGGACAACAGCAAGCGGGTCTTGGTGAGTGATGAGGCAGGCTGATGGTTGGGGCAGGGAAGATGACCAATGAATGGGAGGTGACAGGTGGTGGTGGAGGTAATTGGTGATTTAGTCCAACACACTGTAACCTAGTACTGCGGTCATCCTTGAGTGAATCTGTTCGCTTGGAAGTTGTAACACGATTCCTTTTACAGAGCAGGGGATTTAAAAAAAATGGAATGTGTGTATGTATCTGTCAGGAGTTTGATAATCAGCATTCTATAGCAATAATGTCCAAACTTATGGGCCTGTGGCCTTTGCCTACCATGAATGTTAACCTTGAACAGTAATGACACTGCTGTGTTTCACTTAGTGTAACACCGCAACACCTGTGACTTCCAAGCATTATCACATTCTTTTCAGTCAATACTAACCATAGTCCTTTAGTTAGTGCATACACATGTTCACTCTCTTCACCACTGAGCCTTTGTATCACAGTCCTGTGTAGTGTAGTGTCCATCTCCCATAAATGACAATGTGTTAACACGAGGGTGGCTGTCTCCCGCAGACCCCAGCCAAACCCACCCCAATAAATACTCCGGTTCTCCCGCTGCCTCCTCCCCCCAGGTCCGACGATAAGATGTCAGAGACAGCCAGACTGGCCATTGAGGGCAAGTAAGTGTGATGCCGTATTATGTTGTGCGAATCTTCATCTTGATTTTCATGAACAGTATAATGTTTACGTAGTAACTCCTACATGTTATCTATAATGAATGTAAACCTGAGTTAGTTACGTATATTGAAGTGATAAAATAAAATGTTGTGACACAGTTATCAGCTGCAGCTCAGTACTGTAAACAGATGTGATGTACTGTATGACTGCCCTTGCTAGAGTGATCTTTATTGACGATTAAGAGTATCGATGGTGACCAATGTTGATGCACCACAGATTGATCCATATGAACACTAACATCCAGGACCTGACGCAGCGCCTCAACCAGGAGGCCAAGAAGAGAGAGAAGGTGGAGACAGAGGTTAATATCAGGTACGTCCTTCCCTTTACCAATACACAGTATGTCTTTATCTCACAATTTAAAACGTTAACCTTCAAATTTACTTTCAGCTCCCAAACTACACAACTTTCTCGTCCATGATCTTTAACATTCGTCAATTTTTGTTTCTCTTTTAATTCTCCACCTCGTTGTCATTATAGGTAACCGGGTTGTTTCTCATTTATATTG